TAACTTCAGCAGTTTCTAAGACAACGGGGGGCACGGGTGGCCCAGTCGTCAAAGGCACCGCGATTCGCTGTGCAGATTTGCGTCCCTTGGGCACGCCAGAAACCTATGATTGTGGGTTCAAATCCCGGTTCGACCCGATTATGTTTCTAGGTTTGTCAGCACCATACCCGTGCTCGTGGGTTTCACTGAAGTGGTAAACGTCAGAGACCTGCATCACTTTCGGGCTTTCCTCCCACATTAAGCTGACACACCGTGATATAACTGGAATACTGTTAAAAGCGGCGTTAAACCAAACTCACTCACTCTAAGACAAATGACTAGCACGACGATCTGAAAGGGGAATTGAGAGGATGATAGATAAAAAAAACAACAGGCCTTAAAACGGTTTAAGTGTTTGGACTCTTCTTCCTAAAGATTTTACCTGTCAAGTCGGAACAGATCAGCCTTCTGTCTCCTCCTCTCAGCTGTGTAGAAGCATCGCACAGGGATTTGCTCCAGACGTCGGGGAGCTTTGCCACGGGGAACAACCTCCTCCACGACAGGGACAGAGAAGGCCACTCCTCCGCTGGATTGACGGTCGGGGACCAAGCCCTCATCTCGAAGCTGTTGAAGAATCTGCGCCCCTGACAGGCGGGGTGTGGGCGGTGTCACCTGACACTTGGCGTAGTACAGCTCGTGAGGACAGTTGATCTTGCCCGTCAGAGCCTCCTCGGGAGATGTCTGCTTGAAAGGCTTAACCTTGGTCTGTTTGCATCCCATTTTAGACAGAGATCTTTGGCATCATTGAAACACACGACCAGTCTCCACGAATATGGCGAGACAATGACGTGACGTCATAATGTAGTGACGTCATTGACTAGCCCATTTCAACGTTACCGAAAACGGCGAGGTTGGCCGGAAGGCCTATTCCATTGCAGTGAATCCTAATCGTGACAGCCTCCTCAGGAAATATTTTTGGTGTTTTATTTTATAGGTTTATCCATGGCCCGATGCAACCCTTTTCAGATAAAGATTCATAAATTGAAAATGTATTTATTTTATGTAATGTAAATACAAAAATGTAGCGCCAGGATCAATATTGTTCAGATTAGTGGAATTTGAACGTTTTAGATAAATTTCTTCAAAGTATTGAAATCGCACATGTTATTGCAGCACAAAATGTCTCGATGCAATGCGATGAAATCATTATATAGCTAGGTAGTCCAGCAATGTATGCTTTTCTTTTTTTTATGTTTAAGCAATAAATCCATTGTACCAAACAGAGTGAGAATGAAAATACTATAATACCTTCATTAAAAGGATTTTTGAAATCTCCAAAGACGGTTGTGATGCACTTTTTACTTAAGTTACTTGTAAAAATTTGAAGAACTATGGAGATGTTATGGAGATGGCAACTACTTATTGGTCAGTTAAAAATCACAATTTGAACCAAACAAAACGAATGAGGTTACTTTGTAATGCAATGCCATCACATAACAATAGGTGACGTCAGACCTCGACAGGACACAAGTCTTTTAGAATTCAGAATAGCGTTCACGCATATGGCAAGTGTTTTCCTGGCATCTGATTGCCTGGTGTACAGGCAATTTTCTTTGTGTTACAGTTTCTATAATTCGGGGGGAAATGACATCACGTCTACTAACGGACTCAAAATGGAATGGGCGGAGCATTGTGTAAATCCACCACGTAGTATGCACTATGGGTTTTACGTTTATACCTCCATAAACATAAATTAAATGTTAAAGTTCATTCTTAACATCATATGTAGCTCCAAACAAATTGTTTAATTCCAGGTAAATATTCCTGCACTTATATTATCGCTTGTTTCAATGGTTTCTACAAATCACCGCTTGGCAAGAAGTCTTCAGAGCCGAGCCTTCATTATCCACATCCAATATTTCCAACCGAACATCCATTCAATAATAAGTGTCTTATCTCCATTCTAAATGCATTTTCACCAGCTAGTTGGGAATAATTTGACTACAATCGGTTCCGTCGTTAAATGACCTCTGCTTCCTCTCATTGATTCTGGAATTAACGCGCATCAAAAACTCGTGCAACGGAAGTGATCCCCGATTGGTTAAACTCTTAATCGTGACACCACGTGACAATGATGATGAATTTGCGTGAAACAAACAACGCATCAAACCTGATTTGACAGTTTATCCATCTGAACACGATCGGCTATTCCCGGTGAAAAAAAGCCTCTGAAGTGACTCGTAGCTATTGTAAGCCGGAAGACCGTCACGTGATGTAAACCTCCTCTGGCGTGCAGACGACAGTAATGAATAGCTTGACAGAAGGGCTGGGACGGGTAACTCTGGTACTCGGGTCGAATGGGTACTGAGTAGGACCCGGGTATCCACAGAACTATCCGGACCCGTGGTTAGTCACGTGATATATTGTTTATTGACAAATATTATCTACAACTCTATGCTTACACTACAAGTCACTAATGTTCCCATTTCATTCTGACTATGCACCCATTCCTTCTGACTTTTCTATGTTTGAATAAAGATAGAACTTCATGCAGTAAACGTAAACTTCAGTGTTTGCATGATCAGATCGTTTTATAGTATTATACGTGTATCTAAATACATTTTGCAAGACCAGACCTTTCCAAATCGGACATTTTGTACCTATCTCATGAGACCTACAGCAGGTACCCGGGTAGGGTCGGGTAATAGTGGGGTGGGTACCCGGGTAGTAGATCTGGACTCGTCCCAGCCCTACAGTTAACAGAGCTAGGAAACTGCATCTTATGTTGCAAAAGCGGCCCGTTTGCATAAGTTATGTGACTCATCTTACTTTAGCGATAGTTTTGTTTAGTTATTTACGCTGATCAGTATACCATGTCCGGCCGGGTCCGGCCCCTGAGCATATATTTATTTATCAACTATATTTGGAACTATATTTTCAAAACGTTGTTGTGAACGAGGATATATGGAATATATTTAGTATCAATTCTTCTAAACAAGCAGCTAAGTATACATAAGACTAACGGAAATTAAACACAGATGAAACGTGTTTAGGCGGAAGCCTGTTAACTGTTGGGGCAGAAGTTGCCCCATTTCCTACGCTCACAGCTGAGCCTTCCTCACGACTTTGGAAAGTGACGGAGAGGGGCACGGTGGGACGAAAGAGTTGTGTATGGATGCCTTAAACGACGAAGCGGAGTTGGAGGTGCATGGGCAAGTAGGTGTCGAGCCCTTTAACGACAATTTCGCAGAATTCCCGGGTTCGATTCTGGACATGGGTACAATGTGTGATACCCGTTTTTAGTATCTCCCGCCATTTTATACCATGAAATATGTTTAAAGTGTCGGATACTAGATCGTCGGATACTATGTTTTCGGACGTAATACGATTCGTCAAGCGATTACTCGCGCTATATCGGGGGATGTAGCATCACACAAACATTGCAAATACTCAGGTGATGGCTTGTTTTTAAGAGAAAGTTGTCTTTTAAAAGTGAATGATATATTTCACATCTGTGATGAAACCAGTTGATGTCAAAGAGCTCCCTCTTGAATGTATGTAATGATACTAGTTGATGTCAAAGAGCTCCCTCTTGAATGTATGTAATGATACTAGTTGATGCCAAAGAGCTCCCTCTTGAATGTATGTAATGATACTAGTTGATGTCAAAGAGCTCTCTCTTGAATGTATGTAATGATACTAGTTGATGTCAAAGAGCTCCCTCTTGAATGTATGTAATGATACTAGTTGATGTCAAAGAGCTCTCTCTTGAATGTATGTAATGATACTAGTTGATGTCAAAGAGCTCCCTCTTGAATGTATGTAATGATACTAGTTGATGTCAAAGAGCTCTCTCTTGAGTGTATGTAATGATACTAGTTGATGTCAAAGAGCTCTCTCTTGAATGTATGTAATGATACTAGTTGATGTCAAAGAGCTCTCTCTTGAATGTATGTAATGATACAAGTTGATGTCAAAGAGCTCTCTCTTGAATGTATGTAATGATACTAGTTGATGCCAAAGAGCTCTCTTGAATGTATGTAATGATACTAGTTGATGTCAAAGAGCTCTCTCTTGAGTGTATGTAATGATACTAGTTGATGCCAAAGAGCTCTCTCTTGAATGTATGTAATGATACTAGTTGATGCCAAAGAGCTCTCTCTTGAATGTATGTAATGATACTAGTTGATGTCAAAGAGCTCTCTCTTGAGTGTATGTAATGATACTAGTTGATGTCAAAGAGCTCTCTCTTGAATGTATGTAATGATACTAGTTGATGTCAAAGAGCTCTCTCTTGAATGTATGTAATGATACTAGTTGATGTCAAAGAGCTCTCTCTTGAATGTATGTAATGATACTAGTTGATGCCAAAGAGCTCTCTCTTGAATGTATGTAATGATACAAGTTGATGCCAAAGAGCTCCCTCTTGAATGTATGTAATGATACTAGTTGATGCCACAGTTGCATCCCTTGGGTTTGCCAAAATCCTGTGATCCGTGGCTCAGATCCCAGATTCGCCCTTGATTTTCATTAACATTTTAAACGACCAATCAAACTTTAAGGTGAGGAGAGAGGAAATAGGTAACGGTCTTGCCACCACCAATTTGTAATGGACATGAAGGCATCCTTTCCATCAAAATGATTTTTGAGGGTTTCCTCTGTGTGTTAGTCACATAGCTGTCAGACCCGTGAAGATCCGGGGTAGAATAGATCTTCAGCAACCCATACTTGCCGTAAAAGGTGACTATGCTTGTTGTAAAAGGCGACTAACAGGATCAGGTGGTCAGACTTGCTGACTTGGTTGATGCATGTCATCGATCCCAATTGCGTGGATCGATGCTCATGATATTAATCACTGGATTGTCTGGTCCAGACTCGATTATTTACAGACCCCTGTCATATAGCTGGAATATTGCTGAGTGCGGCCTTAAACAACAAACAAACAAACACTCCAAAGGAAGCTCCTTGACTCCCCACCAATTTCCACAGGGAATCTAATATTCAATGACTGAAACACTAAGCATCTTCTGTACATTTTATTCCACAAGTGTTTATTTAATTATCCAACCCCCGATCTTCCTCTCTTCATGGAGGCAGCCCACTTAATTGACACTAAATACTTCAGCACTTGAAAATAGTTACATGATTCTATAAACATACACATGAAACACTATATATCACAGAAAGAGAGAAACCTTCTTAGTTTCTCTGGAACATCGAGTTTGTCAATCATGGAGTCCACAGACTGACCAATCACAGATCTCTTTACTTGGAACGTCCTGCGTATACACATCCTGCACAAGTTGGCCAAACTATGAGGGTTCTGGGCCATTCTCATCAACATCTTAAAGGCCTCTTCTTCCATTGCTAGAATATGCCGCTTTCGAAACATCTCTTGTATAAAAGAATATTTCATGGTGTATCCACAGTCATTAAGCAGTTTGATGTTGCCAAGGTCGTTGTTAACTAACAGAGAAAACACAATGTGGTTTGCATAGTGATCTGGGTAGTAGATGAGTCCATCTGATTTGTCAATAGCACATCCTGCCTTGATAAGAAGGGAGATAATCTCCTTTCTGTTGAAGAGTAAAGCGTGATCTAGAGGAGTTATCAGCTCTTCATTTAAAGTGTCAAGGTCACAACCAGCTGTGAAAGTAAAATAAATGCAGTCAGAAATATCCCAATGCAGTCATCAATATTCATGTCCCGTGTTAGAATAGGTCTTCAGCACATATGCTTGTCATAAGAGGTGACTAACGGGATCGGGTGGTCAGGCTCGCTGACTGGGTTGATGCATGTCATCATATCCCAATTGTGTAGATCTATGCTCATAATGTCAGTCACTGGATTGTCTGGTCCAGATTCGATTATTTACAAACCGCTGTCATATACTGGAATATTGTTCAGTGCGGTGTTAAACAACAACAAAACAAACAAACAGTAATATTCCAGCTACATCACAGCGGCCTGTATAAATCAAGTCTGATCAGGCAAACCAATGACAAAAAGTATGAAGAAACAATCACAAAACAGGGCATAATGACAATCAGTCAAGTCACAGAGTGTATCATAATTGGCCTCGAGGACGAGTTTTGGTTACTGGGGGCACATCTTATCCCAAATCCCTACAGATTCAACATTTAGGAGCAGATTTGGTGACTTTGTTGACAGCATGTCATCATATTTTGACGGCGTTGGACGTTACTCAAAATATCAATCACTGGTTTGTCTGGTCCAGATTTGATTACTTACAGGCCGCCAAGAATCATTCCGAATTGACTCCAGTGCCAAACAACAAACAAAAAATACCAAGAAAACAGCGTTATCACTATCACTGCCATGGGGCACATTAGACATATAGAGTCCTATAAAGCCTTCAGAATAGATAGCCACTAGGGTCGCTTTATGTCATCTGAGTGAGTGAGTGAGTGAGTTGGGTTTTAACGCCCCTTTTAACAGTATTCCAGTTATATTGCGGCGTGTCAGCTTAATGTGGGAGGAAAGCCCGAAGTGATGCAGGTCTCAGACGTTGACCACTTCGGTGAAACCCACGAGCACGGGTATGGTGCTGACAAACCTAGAAACATAATCGGGGTGAACCGGGATTCGAACCCACAATCATAGGTTTCTGGCGTGCCTAAGGGATGCAACTCTGCACAGGGAAGTATCAAGCTCCTCACAGCGATAGTACGTTCCCGGAGCTCTCTTTACTATCGCTGCCACCAGTCAAAACTCTCCACTGTGAATAGGTGGCCACAACCATGCTTGGAGTTGAACTCGCAACCGAATGACCGTTATGTTTACAAACAGGTGACGACTGTCGTGACGCCGAATACACTTATCGCAGCTAAATTACTTTCTTCGTTTGTCAATTTGAATTTCTGTTTCATTAAAACTATCGTGTTATTGATATAGTAAGAATGTAAGGGAGAAGTTGGTTGATTTTCCGTTAGTCTGCAATCTCGAACCAATCTGATTATCAAAACAACAAAGTAAATTCATCTGGAAAACATGGTCAGTCGTAAACCTTTTCAAATTGAAATATGATTGCATTCCCAAAGACATAAACAAAAGTATAAACGTTACTACATATGGGGTTGGAGGGCAAATTTCAAGATTCTTGAAATGGCCGCGCCCACACTGGTGGCAGCGATGTTACCGAGAGTGTAACGAAGGTGTCACGCGCTGGGAAGGAGCTTGAGGGAAGTATGTAGCAAGGGAAGTAACTCTGGAAACAAATAATTTTCAGGATCAATTTTCGAACGTAGTCTTGACAACTATCTCTTATATAACATGCAAACTTTCATTCATGTAATTTCAGTAGTTCCTGAGAAAACTTTTTCACCCAGTGTGCACTAACTTGAAAATCATGGAGTAAGGCCAAAAATGAATTTTCAAACTCTTTTAAGATCATGACCAGTAATATCAGTGTGTAAAATATCATTTCTAACACTTAAATGGTAACTTAACGTTTCTCTAACTTAACGACAGACGGATGGACAGATAGACAAACTCCATTGCTGTATTCCCCCGAGCCACTTCGGTGGAAATTAACTAAGGAAAACCTGACAATTCCACAGAGGGTTTATTTTCTGCTAGCCCTGCAATAGGTTCCCACTCCTTATACTATAAGTTATAGAACGAGAGGACTTTCAAATTTCAATCTTTAAAGACTCAAAAGGTTGTGCCAAATGACTAGCACGACGATCTGAAAGGGGAATTGAGAGGATGATAGACAAAAAAACCAACAGGCCTACTGGCTTGTATTTTATAATAAATGGTATAAAATAATTGTTTGTCGTGACATTTTTTTTGATAGGATAAACATGGCGGAAAACATATTACATTGAAGGTGTTGAACAAGTCGTTCATAAGCCTTAAGGACCTACCATTTGATATTCTGGGGGCGGCAGGAGGCTGGGATTCTGTTTCAAGACTATATTTTTTCAGCTACAGCTACAAAATACGTTTTTTTTAATTTTTAAATTATGAACCTGAATGATTTAAAAAGAAAAACACCTTGCAACAAAGTAATTTTTGTGATAGGCAATTTCTTTTTTTTTCAATGGTCTGAAGCATAACTATTTTGTTCAAGAATTTTTCGGGACATTATATTTTTTGTTATAAAATCCGAGGCCAACCCCCGCCCTCCCCACAGAGCAGCTGTCTGTAATTCCCGATGATGTTATATTTTTAGTGGATATATTGAATAACTAACACTGAACTACAAACAAGGTTATCCCCAAATCCAATCATTAATCATTATTATAATTAGTATTAACATGTTTACTTCAGAAATTCCAATAATCATGTTCATGAGGTTAGTGAATGATATCTGTTTTGGCAGAAGGGTTTTGACGCCGCTTCTTTGAAGTTGAAGGGGGTCAATTAAAGTGTCTCAGTGCACTTTGTGTCAGCTGTATATGAAATAGGTCTCACACATTTACCATTCTGGTGAAACCCACCAGCATGGGCATGGTGCTGACAAACCAAGGATTATAATCAGAGTGTGTCAGAGATCCGAACCAGTGCCAAGCAGATCCTGGGTTAGCAAGTTGAATCAACCTGCAATATTTACTAGCCCAATAGTGACACCCCTTAACTGTCTTAAATTCTACCAGCCCTTGATTACATAAGACAGACTGGCTTGGGCGAGAGACGAGTGCCAGTTTGAGCGACCCTGCTAAGGGACACAACTCTGCCCCTCAGTGTGTGGGGCGAAGTGCTGACCTTCAATGAGCAGTCTGACCATGTCCACCTGGTTGTTGTCCACGGAGTGGAAGAGCGGCGTACACTCCCCACAGTCCTTGTAGTCGATCTCCGCGCCGCGCTGCAGCAGCTTCCGGGCAACGTCTGCAACACACATGATTGACAGGGGCCATGATCGACAAGAACGTAGGACAACACACACCAAGATTGACAGGAAGAAAGGACAACAAACGGGCCTCGATTGACAAGAACGTAGAACATCACACGGGCCATGATTGACAGGAATGTAGGACAACACACCGGCCACAATTGACAGGAACATAGGACAACACATAAGCCATAATTGTCAAAACACAAGCAACGATTGACAGGAACATAGGACAACACACACGCCATAATTGACAACACACAAGCAACGATTGACAGGAACATAGGACAACACAAAGGTCTCGATTGACAGGAACATAGGACAACACAAAGGCCACGATTGACAGGAACATAGGACAACTTTCAGGCCACGATTGACAGGAACATAGGACAACTTTCAGGCCACGATTGACAGGAACAAAGGACAACACACACGCCATAATTGACAACACACAAGCAACGATTGACAGGAACATAGGACAACACAAAGGCCTCGATTGACTGGAACATAGGACAACACACAAGCCATAATTGTCAAAACACAAGCAACGATTGACAGGAACATAGGACAACACAAAGGCCTCGATTGACAGGAACATAGGACAACTTTCAGGCCACGATTGACAGGAACATAGGACAACTTTCAGGCCAAGATTGACAGGAACAAAGGACAACTTTCAGGCCACGATTGACAGGAACATAGGACAACTTTCAGGCCACGATTGACAGGAACATAGGACAACTTTCAGGCCACGATTGACAGGAACATAGGACAACACACACGCCATAATTGACAACACACAAGCAACGATTGACAGGAACATAGGACAACACAAAGGCCTCGATTGACTGGAACATAGGACAACACACAAGCCATAATTGTCAAAACACAAGCAACGATTGACAGGAACATAGGACAACAAAAAGGCCTCGATTGACAGGAACATAGGACAACACACACGCCATAATTGACAACACACAAGCAACGATTGACAGGAACATAGGACAACACACACGCCATAATTGACAACACACAAGCAACGATTGACAGGAACATAGGACAACACACACGCCATAATTGACAACACACAAGCAACGATTGACAGGAATGTAGGACAACACAGAACAAGAGGGAGGTTTTATCTGCTACAATACATACCTAGTCTGCCACTGCGGCAAGCTAAGTGGAGGGGAGTTTTCCCATACATGTTGGTGGCCATGATGAAGTTGGTATGTGACAGCAGCAGATCCACCATTTCAGTGCTGTCCTGTTGAATGTCAAGTCTATGTTACTGAATATTGGGGACAATATGCAAACTTGACAGATCTTCTACCTGCCAGAACAGATACATTTTTCTCTTTAGGTGAGGTGAAATATAATTATTGCACTTATATAGAGATGTGCATGCACATGTGTGTGTGGCTGCTTGTACTTGTCTGGACTAATGCCGATTTCAGAGTGTTAGCCCACTGAGGTACCATGCCACTGTTTAACATGAATACCCCACTCTGACACAGCATACTGACTCCGAGTTGACCAGTCTTAATGCTGAGCGCCAGGCAGAGTAACAAGTACCATCTTTTAACATCATTTGGTATGACTCAGTCGGAAATCGAATCCCGGACCTTCCACTCTCCGGTTGGACGCTCTACCACTAGAACATGGCGGCGGTCCTTTTCTCTTTACCCACATAGATTCTACTGACTTTATAGAGTTGAATGTATTTCCAATCTCATCAAAATCCACTATCGCTAAACAAAGATCTGAGGACATCCCGTTACGGTTCATGTCAGAACAACCTTTCATCCAACCAATCAAAGTGTCGCTTACCAGATCATGAAAGCGACAGTCGGAATGTGTTTCATGCAACCTCGAAAACTTTAACATGGGGTATTCTGAATGACAGTTACGGCCCATATGACTGATTCCATCAAAATTATCGTCTGTCTCTCATTTGCGTGGGGTAAACATTTGAATGGAGGAGGCGTTGCACAGTACGTGGGAAGCATTGCCATACAATCGCAATGATATATAAGACATTCCGGAATGTTCGTTCGTTCAGTTTTCAAAATTGAAATCGGGAACTGTGTCAGTATATTTTTCATGCGTAGTCTGAAATGGATGTCGCCAGGTTGAAACAAGTGCCGTAAAGCTCAAGAAAGCTGCTTTCTAATAGGCTGGTGTTGACTTCTTGTTAGTCGTTTCAGTGGGAGATCAAGGTTCGTGAAAGGTCGTTCTGACGTGACCTGTAATGGGATGTCCTCAGATCTTTGTTTAGTGGCAGCAAGAACTTAGATCTGATTTTAGTGAGATTGATGTATTTAAAAATTTGGTTTTGAAAGTTCTCATCTAGTATCAGCTGTGAAGCAACAATATATTTAACACAAAAATAAAGGATTACATAGTTGAAAAAAGGTACATTGTCATCTATGTTTTAGCTACATGTTAAAAGAAGCAGTTTTCTCCTGTCGTTTGTTTCCTGAATGTGTTACCTCTTAAAATATTTATGAATTATTGGGGTATATGTACATTTCGTTAATTTTCTGAAAAAACTATGCATTCTATAAAATTAATATTATGCCAGTTTCTGTCCCTCAATTCTGTTTAACATGTTAAAGGGTTTCAAAATCAGGAGATTTCCACCAGTCTTTGGAACTTATATTTACTGGTTACTAATACTCTCCCCCAGGAACATTGATTCTCACCCCCAGAAACCCTGATACTCACCCCCAGAAACCCTGATATTCACCCCAAGGAACCCTGATACTCACCCCAAGAAACCCCGATACTCACCCCAAGGAACCCCGATACTCACCCCAAGAAACCCCGATACTCATCCCAAGGAACCCTGATACTCACCCCAAGGAACCCTGATACTCACCCCAAGAAACCCCGATACTCACCCCAAGAAACCCCGATACTCACCCCAAGGAACCCCGATACTCACCCCAAGGAACCCTGATACTCACCCCAAGAAACCCCGATACTCACCCCAAGAAACCCCGATACTCACCCCAAGGAACCCTGATACTCACCCCAAGAAACCCCGATACTCACCCCAAGAAACCCCGATACTCACCCCAAGAAACCCTGATACTCACCCCAAGGAACCCTGATACTCACCCCAAGAAACCCCGATAATCACCCCAAGGAACCCTGACACTCACCCCCAGGACAGCTATGTGTAGAGGACTGTCTGTGTCCTCAGTGAGGTTGGTTATCACAGGAGGGAGACCTGCCTCTATACAAGCCTTCACTTGCTCTACCTGACCTGGGTGGTAAACAGAGATTATTCGCTGAGTGTACAATTTGGTACAATTTACGAAACAAATAAAATATATAATAAACTTGGTATCATGATTCAATAAACATGCAAATGAGATCTTCTAGCACAGAAAGTACCATACATCTATACAATGCCAACTTGCCCAAAATACTTGTGATAGAACAAAGTAATGTAACCATGTAGCATCAGGTTATGAAAATAATCACGTAATCATGCACACATGATCACCACGACAACTAATGCAAGATAATCATGATAATAACACCAGTTAGCAGCATAAATAACTAAAAGTGAAGATTCCGGGGTAGAATAGATCTTCAGCAACCCATGCTTGCTGTAAAACGCGACTATGCTTGTCGTAAGAGGCAACTAACGGGATCAGGGGGTCAGGCTTGCTGACTTTGTTGATGCATGTCATAGATCCCACATTGCGAGGATCGATGCTCATGATATCAATCACTGGATTGTCTGGCCTAGACTCGATTATTTACAGACCGCCGTCATATAGCTGGAATATTGCTGAGTGCGCCGTTAAACAACAAACAAACCAAAACCAGCCAAGCATGATGTATTGCCTGTTGTTCCTATACCATAAATACCACAGAACAGATGTAGAAATGTAGGCCACTCACCTCCCGCAACATAAGCATAAAATGTTGCTTTGTCAATGCAGCAGTCCTCCTCGCAGTTCTTTTCTTCTGACATGGTTTAATTTCTAGATCTCGCTCCTCTCACTTTTCTTTAGAGGATAAACAAAAGTTGCAATAAATAGATCTGTAATTGGTTATGAAACTGTACATGCACTGGCATTCTTTACAGCTTCATACTTTGTTGGATGTTGCAATGGTCACAATGGAGGAAGTAATAGACACAGATCTATTTGTTATTTTCCTCTCTTTTTTATGCCCTTAATCATGTTAATATAATTCAACTAGATCTAGAAATTGCTACATCTAGTCTTTAAAAGGCATTTAGAAGTGATACACATAAGCAAGAGATTTTATGGACGTCAACTTCTTTATTATGAGGAACACAACGTTTCGGAGTATCATGAGGTGAATGGATCCTATGAGGTAGAGAGCATATATATATACATGTACATGTAAGAACAACAAAAGAAATAAGATAATGAAAGGTGGAAACTTAACATCTAGTTTAATTATTCATTATCATTCTTTTTTATTTATCTAGAAATTGCTACATAAATAAAAAAAAGAATGATAATCAATTTTACACATCGTTATGTCTAATGAAGGATGATCTTATTCTATCTAGTTGAAACATTTGAAGTGTAGTTACTCATTTCACAAGTGCCGTAGACACGTTGTTAAGATCTTTTTTGTATTAGGCTTAGCTGAAACACCTGTCCAGTTGAGAATTCACCTACGCTTATATATACTTTACCTCCAAGAATCAGGCAAAGGCATAGGAGTTGTACACTAAATAGGCATCTCACATAGGTTTACATCAGTCAAACTGTAACTGTCAAACTCAAACATGTAATAAATATGGCAGAAACTGGCAGAATGTCCGATTTAGATCTATGATAAATGCTTTCTATTAAATCTCGAGTCCTCGACCCATATCAATAGTTAGGCCCAAATGGTATATTTGTCTAACCAGTATTAACTGATTACTCTTATCATCAGTCAATTGATAAGAGTTAGCTGTCTACGCATAATTCATTGTCCCAACATCCGTATTGCATGGTTTACCTACAAACTCTTAGCACCGCCAATAACTGATAGGTGTCGCTTGAGACACCCGGCATGTTCGACAAGACAAGCTATATTAGAGGCGTTCCCCGTGAAGATAAAAGTATGTTAAATATAAAATAAGTACAATATTAGTTGAATAAACCTTATTCAACTGACTTATGATGCTTAGAACGACTATAATATCGAAAATGAAAAAAAATTAATTATCTTTAAGATGTGCTTCGAATAGTTAGAAATTAGGACTAAAGTTATCCAACCGAAAAAGCCCATAGATAGTCGCTGTACGGAGTTGACAAAACAACCAATCACATCTCTTATTTCAGTGCAGGGTCAAGGACCATCTGCGGGAATTCCCCAATTTACGGATATTTACGACGTCACGGGTATCCAAAATAAGAAATTGATCAAGAGAAGGAAGAGAACGTGTAACCCTGGACATTACAGTAACCTAAGTATGTAGAATACATTGTCATAACTGTCACAGCGTCGCTTAGATGATATGTTGTGAACAGGAGATGTAAAGGTAGTGAGAAAATGTTGAATAAGTTTGTCAACTTGGCCTGAAAGGACATACAAAATCATACATCTCTCGTTTCCTGTTTGATATCGAAAGTAACATTATATCATTCTGTTTCTTACACTTAGATTAACCATGTTAACTAGTCACAGGACGTTATGAAGAATGGCTACCAACGTCTAAAACAATTATAGACAAATAAATTGATTTTGTTAAAGGATTGGTGTTGAATACCATCCAGAAATCATTTGTCGACACTAGCTCAAAGATGGTGCCAACTCCTCCTCCTGCCTCAGGGACAGCATGATAAAAATAGAATTGAAAGTCATATTTGTCAGGGATGTAAACAAATGAATTTTATTTGTCAGTTTTCACGTGTTGATCATTAATGTGGTGTAAGGTTTTTGTCAACATATGCTGAGAATTACTATGTATACAGCTGGACAGTCAGTAAGCACATACTGATGAGGTCCTTCTTTCATGCACCTGAAGCGTCTAATTCACATAGTAGCTTCATATCAGAAACCTAAGCTTCACATTGTATATTGTTGTGCCCACCAAACATATGCCAGTATATCTGTACAAAGAGAAACCAAGTTTGATGCAAGGAACAATGATGACAAATAGGCACTGTAACCATAGTTACACTCTGGGATTCTCTACCTACAGGATCTTACAGTAATATTGCATCCTATATGCCTACAAATTGAAAATGAATACAAAAAGTTAATATTGTAAGTTCTTGGAGACGCAAAAAAACGAATGCTGTTTGAAAATTTCCCTTCTGCGACCACCTCTGAAGAGTTTGTCAGAGCCTCATGCAGAGAGAAATCGTATCTGAGTAAATTTATGAAAAGATCTGATTTTAATGATGTTCAGAAACAGCTGAAATACAGTTAACAGTGACATGTAGATATGCAGAACCAAAGCCATTCATCTATGTTTTTAAAAAGAGAGTTATTCGTGTGAAACCAGGCCTATGTAGAAGATGCTGTAGGACACACAGATCAGGATGATGTCTAGCAACGGTGTGCAGGAGACGGGGGGAACGTTCAGGAGCAGTACGGTTCTCAGTAACGGCCTGTCCCCTGACTTTGAAGTTCTCTCCCATCCCAATTCCTCTACGGGGTCCCAACCTCCAGCCAGCCTCAGTCAGATCAACCCCCTGGGGATGTCGCAGACCCCCAACTCCCTGACTGACGTCACCCTGGAGCAGGCACTGGCTAGAGTGCATGATCTGTCACGGGAGAATAGCGACTTAAGAGGTACAGTATTTCAGTTTGCTTGGGGATCTTTTCAGCATTTTGATGTTTAAGATCAGATATTTTTGTTGTTGTTCTTCTTGTTGTTCTGAGTTTAGTTTCCACATAACATGTGAATGCAAATATCAAAAGACGACATCATGACTGCGTGTATATCTGAATAATCTGTGTACCTGACTAACAGTTTTAAGCAAATTAAACAATTTATGGAAATTTGCAAGAAATCAGGAACGATTACATACCAGGGATTGAAATTCCTCCTATTTTAGTGCCAATGGCAGGGGCACGGGTGACCCAGTCGTCTAAGGCGCTGCGATTCGCTGTGCAGAGTTGCGTCCCTTGGGCACGCCAGAAACCTATGATTGTGGGTCCGAATCCTGGTTCGGGATTAAACCAAACTCACTCACCCAATTGTGTCAATGGCACATGTATACTCGTAATGGTACAGTTCCAGCGCTGGCCCGTAGGCCCATGGCAGGTAGTTTTTGTGTCAGTCATATAGTTTCAAAGTTGTATGTGCAAATGTTGCCTGCAAATGTTTGAAGGGTACACTAAAAAATCATATATCTTAAACAATGTCATGTGACAATGTTTATCATGTGAAACCAGAAATAAATGTTCTTTCAAACAAATAACCATGACAAACAATGGGATATGATGTGATGTGCTTTGTGCAGAATATGATTCACAAAATAAACTTGGGAATAGAACAAGGACTAGTTGGCTCGGAGTCAATATACTGTGTCTTAGTTGGGTATACAACTTAATTGTGGTATGATGTCTAAGTGGCCTAGCACTATAAAATCGGCATTAGTCTGGACTAGAGTGAGTACGGTTTTACGCAGCTTTTAGCAATATTCCAGCAATCTCACGGGGGGGGGGGGGGGGGGTCGGGTGCACAAGAAATGGGCTTCACACATTGTACCCAGTTGGGAATCAAAACCAGGTCTTTGGCGTGACAAGCAAATGCTTTGACCACTAGGCTACCCGACCGCCCCTTCGGACTAGAACCAGCAGCCACACACACATGCATGCACATCATTTTAAGTACAAAAAATATTTTGCAATAACCCATTTCACATCTTGGCAACTTTTACCAATCCTGATTTCAAAACTCTCATTGCTGAATATAAAACGTTGGATATAACTTTCTTCAGAGTTTAAGGTTGATGTATTGACTGTCTGTTCTACAGTTTCACTGCTTGAGACACAGTGTCCCTCAGTGGAAGTGATGTCATTGTACATCATGGTACATGTTGTAATGGAAGCAAGAGGAATAGGACTTGGGTTTACAACATGTGTTTCCTAAACTGGAAGTCATTTCGGTAGAGTGGAAATACATTTAGGTTCTTTCTAATCCGTTTAAAAGAATGGCAGGCAAATGGAAAAGAAATTAATTTTATTTTTTTGTTTGTTGGGTTAAGCTCGAGTTGTTTGATGTGTTATCAAAAAGTCCAAAGGTTGTTATGGTTACATGGCAAATGTGTATTTGCCATCAGATTACCTGAAGGACAACAATGAGATGATGAAGAAGCAGTACGAGGCGCTGGCGGAGTGGAAGAAGAAAGTCCACGACGCCAACATAGCCAACCGCGACAAGTTCGACCAGACGAAGGCGCTGATCCTTGGACTGCGGAAAGACAATGAAGAGATGTTGGAGAAAGTCCAAGAGCTGGAGACCAGCAAGGAAGAAAAGATGGTAGAGTAATATTTCCTGAAGGGTTGGTTGGTTGGTTTGATGTTTTACGCCGCACTCAGCAATATTCCAACTTTATGATGAGGGTCTGTAAATAATCGAGTCTGGACCAGACAATCCAGTGTTTGATATCATGAGCATCGATCCACGCAAATGGGATTGATGACATGCATCAACCAAGTCGGGGAGTCTGACCACCTGATCCCGTTAGTCCCACTTATTACAAGCATAGTTGCCTTTTACGGCAAGCATGGGTTGCTGAAGACCTAATCTACCCTGAATCTTCACCGACCATTTTCTAATGGGGGAGAGAGTGTTTGAAGTTATGGCTAGTCCAGGTTGCATGACTGTATTTTGATATAGCATTTATTTGTTTGTTGTTTAATGCTGCACTCAGCAATATTCCAGCCATATGACAGTCTGTAAATAATCAACTCAGGAGCAGACAGTCCAGTGATTGATATCATGAGCATCAATATACATGATTGGGATATGATGACACGTATCAACCAAGTCAGTGAACCTGACCACCCGATTCTGTTGGCATGGTTAGTTGCCACTTAGGACAAGCATGGGTTGCTGAAGACCTATTCTTCCCCGGATGTATAGCATTACGCATGTTAAGCATGTTAAGAAGGATAACTACTCACTAAATTTGATAGCTGTATCATAGTAATCATAGCATTTTTATCCCTGTGCCAGTTATGAGGTGAGATACGGTTATCAAATCTTATCAAATTACCGTATTCGACGTAATAAGCGCCCACGGCGATATTTGCTAATATATTAGCTAGTGAACAATCCGAATTGGCACCCCTTCCGATTGATCAATGTACACAAGACTCTTTTTTTTGCGTATAATACGCACTCGTGTGTTATATGCACCCTTAATCGTAGGCAATTAAGTTCTGGAACAATACATCTGTCGTACAAAAACTTTTCAGGCTGTCAGCATAAACCACGAAATGTATCTTTCAACTCTGTTTTTTTCACCAAAATAATATTCTAATAAGAGCCCCCTATTTCTAATTTTATTACGTCGAATACGGTATATCTTTTACTCAGATTTGATACCTCTCTGCATGAAGATGTTACAAGCGCTTTACAGGAGGTCATAGCAAATCAGTGTCAAGGTTTCTAAATTCTTAGTACGAAAGCGAAACATTCAGAGGCAGCTTCTCGATTTCTGTATCTTGATATGAAAATACATAGCCAGTTCCAAATGGAAATAATAAAAGCTGTGCTATTACATTGTTGTGAATACCCTGTATAATCGAAGGAATATTTGAAATCTGTGTTTGTTTACATTTGTTATGTCTAAATTTCCACTCAAGATGGTAAATAAGTGAAGCAGAATCAATCAGAAAGCTGACATCTGGTTGGCTCAAGAACCCCCGATGCTTCATTAAGATTAGTAGGTTAACTCAAGGTTCACCTGGCAGGACCTCTTGGGTTTGTCCTGCAGCTGGGTATCACACGTAGAGATTTGATTTTGGTGAGATTGAGCCTTTAGTTATCCTGGTATTTTATGGCCATAGCAGAATCTGTTCTGTATTTTTTCATAAAACATTTAGGGGGGCACAGGTGGCCCAGTCGTCTAAGGCGTGGCGTGTGCTGAGTTGCGTCCCCTGGACATGCCAGAAACCTATGATTGTGGGTTCGAATCCCGGTTCACCCCGATTATGTTTCTAGGTTTGTCAGCACCATACCCGTGCTCGTGGGTTTCACCGAAGTGGTAAACGTCTGAGACCTGCATCACTTCGGGCTTTCCCCCCACATTAAGCTGACACGCCGAGATATAACTGGAATAATGTTAAAAGCGGCGCTAAACCCAACTCACTCACTCATAAAACATTTACAACTCATTCCAGTGGTGCATTTTGCGATAAATGGATTTTCAAATTTCAATGATGAATGTCGTTTCAATTAATTGTGCAGTTTGTTTATGAAACAGATTTTATATTCCATTTGTTTCCACTTAGAACATCTAGATACTTGAAGTATGATATTAGTGGGGAGATTGTGCTTTTTGCTCATTGATTTAAAATTGTGAATAAAGTCATTTTCATGAAACCCTGATACAATGAATTGAAAGTTGAGATATATGTATATTGACTGTTGCAAAGTAAAACAAAAAAATCAATTCTTTGGAGGCATGTGAAGATCTGGGTCTTTGAAGAATATGTTTTTAACAACCCATGCTTATTGTTAGAGGCGACTGACGGGATCTAGCTCACCCACTTGGTTGAGTCATGTGATCGTATCCCAATTGTGTGGGTTGATGCTCATGGTATCAGTCACTGGATTGTCTGGTCCAGACTTGATTATTTCATAGACTGCTGTGGTATAACTGGAATATTGCTGAGTGTGGCATTAAACAACAAACAACAAACAAGCAATTCTGTTGAACAAGATTATGTCATTAACAAGGATGTTGAGTGTTGGTTGTCCCTCGTGATGCCTGGGTCTGTCTGTGTCTGTTGTACACATAGTCCAGTTTGTGCAAGCCAGACTGTCTATTTTATTTTTAACAGATTCTTTTTATTATCCTGGTTGGTAGATGGGGAAAAATATGAAGACAAAAAGTTTCCAGTGGATGCAGGGATTAGTAAAAATTCCCAAATTTGAATTAAAAATTTTCCAATTCCTGTTATTATAGTTTTAACTAATTCTGTGGACTTGTAGAGGTGATTTGCGTTTCACTGGAACTAAGACTGAGAAGGAGGAGGTGGCCTTACTGCCTCGTTTTACGTTATTTGCATTGAATTCAGTGTTAAGAATCTTTTCTTAAATTCATCATATTCATATGTATCTTAACTTAAGATACATATGAATATGATGAATTTAAGAAAAGAACTTTTAAGAAATCCAAAATTTTTAACATGTTTAACAAAATACCATTTTTTCCCCAATCTCATTAAATTAAGATCTTAGTTCTCGCTACAGCTAAACAAAGATCTAAAGACGTCCCATTACGGGTCATGTCAGACCGACCTTGCGCGAACTTTGACCCACCAATGGAATGACCAATCAGAAGGCAGCTTTCTCATGCTTTACGGCACTAACTTTGAAACATATTTTGAAACCTAAACAAAAGAACATTCTGTAATGGCTAATAGATGGTTTAGATTGTATGGATTCAGTTGTTAAATCTGTAACTATCGTTCGGAGTTAAAGTTTTCGAGGTTGCATGATTAGAAATCACATTCTGACTTTCACTTTCATAATCTGGTAAGCGATGCTCTGATTGGTCGGATGAAAGGTCGTTCTGACGTGACCCCTAATGGGATGTCCTCAGATCTTTGTTTAGTGGTAGCGAGAACTGAGGTCTAATTTTAATGAGATTGTTTCTTACTTAATTTGGATGCCAAGGGATTTAGTTCGGAATCCAAAAGAAATCCCTGGTATATTGGCATGTGTGCAGTTAAGCTTGGTTATGCTTGTTTGTCTAGTGTAACTAGTTGTCTTACAGATTAATCAATTAAGCTATCATATGGTCATTTGTTTTGTGATGAGCATATTGAACACAGAAGTTTACATACCACGGAATTAAAATTTGTACACTTATAATTCCTTTGTGGAATCCATAAATGAATGAAAAATCTGAGCATTGTGTTATCACTATTTATGTATTCATTACCTTTGTACCAGAATGAGTTGCTGGGGAAGATCCACGCCCTGGAGTCCGCCAGGCTGAAGAGTGAACAGCTGGCCACCCAAGTCTGTAGCAAGGCAGAAGAACAAGGCATGTCCATGGACGACTTAGAGCTTAATCTTCAAGAAATGGTAGGTCAAGGTCATGTCATTGTTAGCTCACCTGCCTGCTGTCACGGCAGCCATATTGAAAGAGTTATTTACGTCCGTTACTCAGTCATTGTTGTTCAAAATGTTATGAAATTTGGCACATGTGTAGCATATATAATTATATATGTTTGCTATATTTTAAGTTTTGAACTTTATTTCATAGCGTGTCATCGTTCTTTGATGTCCTGGGTTGTTGCTCATAATATCAATCTCTTGTTTGTCTGGTCTAGATTCGATTGTTTACAGGCCACCATCTTTTAGCCTAAATATTGCTGATTGTGGTGTTAGCATAACAAAAATCAATAAGTTAAATAAATCAAGGATATCGGGCCCTACTCAAAGTCCAATATTCAGCCCCAAATCTGCAGCAAATGTCATTCAGAATCCCCAAATTGGAACAAAACATTTTCCCAATTCATGTAAGAACTAATAACTAATGTATAGAGGTAAAATTTACACTGTATTACACTGCGAACAGGACCAATCAAGAGGAAGAGGTTTTGATAATTAGTGTTATATTCTCAGTGACAAAAGAAATGTGTATGCCATACTTGTTGGTTAACTTGTGAAAAAGTACTCATACTTAAGATTATATCAGATTAGTTTAATGCACAAACGAACAAACTGGTCTGTTGTGTGAACTGACACTCATGAACGCTCATGTGACGTCATAGATCAATGACTTGAGATGCACTATTTTTATCGAGCAGGATATAGCGTGTAAAACTTGGAAATCACGTGCAGCATACCGTGATAAGAATAAATACATTATTCTTAAAGTACATTCTTCTCTAAATGTTTCTGGGGGCACGGGTGTCCCAGTCGCTGTGCAGAGTTGCATCCCTTGGGCACGCCAGAAACCAATGATTGTGGGTTTGAATCCTGGTTTCCCCCAATTATGTTTCTAGGTTTGTCAGCACCATACCCATGCTCGTTGGTTTCACCGAAGTGGTCAACATCTGAGACCTGCATCACTTCAGGATTTCCTCCCACGTTAAGCTGACACGCCGTGATATAACTGGAATACTGTTAAAAGTGGTGTTAAACCCAACTCACTCACTCACTCACTAAATGTTTCTATTGTTAGCAATTCTTTTGGCGGTGAGTACAGTATTGCATTGAATGCAATTCCAAAATGCAGTGTTAAAATACCTATTAAGTCAAGAAATTGAGAACTTTTAAACATTTCAAATTTTGTAAAAAATAACAAATGTTGCCAGGAGCACTTAGTTTATATGTAGAACCCTGGATAAATCCCAGTGAGTGAACTGTTGTGACTTTGGCTGCAGGTGATAGTCAGTGTCAGTGCTGAGACGGAGGAAAGAATCAGTCAGCTGGAGAGAGAGCTGGAGGACAAGAATGGAGAAATTAAGAGATTGACAGAAGAAAGAGATAAACTAAGTTCTCAGGTGGGTCAGTTCCGGGAGAGCGCTGACCAGCTTCTGAAGGACCTGGAGTGCCAGCAGAAGATGAAGGAGGAACTCCAGAGGGAGAACCAGGAACTCCTCGAGAAGAACCTTGACCTGAACCTCCAGGTTCAAAGTCTCTTGTCAGACACACGGATTTCGTTGCAACTGGTTGAAAAGGCAGCGTTTTCTTCCAAGTCACAAAGTGGTTTGTCAGATCTAGGTCAAAGTAGCAGGCCAGAGACGGACACGCAGGAGGTAGCACGCTTGATGGAACATCTTCACAGGAACGAGGAAAGGTTTAAAACTGAAATGGCAACAATAAGGTCACACCTACAAGGGGAGAAAAATAAGGTAAAATATTTTACTTCATATTTATCCTCCCATTTTGAAAAACAAGGGGATATAGTGATCAGCATGTCCTTCTGCCCATCCGTCGTCCGTTTTCCGTTTCTGGAGCAGAACTCCCAAACCGTTGAATATTTTTAGATGAAACTTGCTATGCAGATCAGTCAAGTGGTGATCTGGTGCCTGTTGATGATTTGGGATGTTGAGAAGTACTGAACAGCATTAGTTTTTTCTTCACTGAACTGAACGTATCCAATGGCAGTGAACAAAGGTGGGGTAAAAGTAGACTAACTCCATTTCCGAGTTGCACCAGAATGGGGGTATATGTCATCTCCTGATGGCTCTTGTTAACCTCTGTTTAGTAAAGTTTTAGTTGAGTCAGGTTTTTGTTTGGATGCTATACAATACATGAGCCAAGCTCTTTCGATACAGAGTTTCTAAAGTATGCGGAAAAAATACTGGGACTGCAGGTTTTGAAGCCTGGGGCTTAATTACAGAGTAACATTTCATCCAAATTTAAGCCCAGTGCTTAAAAACGAAAATGAACAAAAAACAGGACATGAAGAATGAATATCCCAAGTCCAATGAAACAATACTACTAAAAAAATGGAAAGTGAGAGCAACATTTTACAGTGAGTAGTGATTATCTTTTTTCCAATTGAAACTTAAGACCATGTTCAAAATTGAAATGACAGCCGTCACAAAAGTGACAGCAAACCAATATCGCAGTCATGTATGTCTGTCACACTGAGTATCCAGAATATCATCTACATTAGGGATCCAATGTGTCTTGTACATGTGGAACCCTCTAACCATGCTAAAAGCCCTTAAGGTGTAATATTGGGGCAAATATAGACATGATAGAACCATGATACAACACAGGGTGAAGGACACTGGTAAGGGAGATCACTAAATTTTTATGGCTACATCCTACATATTTTGTGTTAACCTAAATGTATTTTGTGCATTTTGAAACCATTAGGCTAAACAAAGGCGAAGCTGCTTGACTGCTTGTCTGCCTTTTGTGGTGTTTCTTAGACTTCCCCTAGCATCGCTAATAATGCCTGAACATGTATACTAGTCATAATCAGTTCACAGCAAACTCAGTTTACTTATGCGCATGGGTTTCCAATAAACTATGACATAATTTACAAAATGACAACAGACTTTGAAATGAAATGACGCCGAAACTGACTTGATGATTTGTAGAAATAAATTTGTTTTGACTAAAATTTTCAACTAGACAGTTGGACAAGCTTTACAGAAATATTACCAGCTCATTTTAAAAGTCACTGGCATTTGGCTAGCCGGCAGGCAGTTATTTTGAGCACTATGATGATCACTTAAGACTGTCTTTCACACTATCTTTATGTGACAATTATAGCTAACCACAAAGACTTCATGGTTCTAAATGTTTTGGAAGGACCAGTTACCATGGTAACATGAACTGTATCCTCTCTGTACAGAGTCAGCAGCTGCAAGCCAAACTGACTGAAAACACCCAGAAAATGTCAGCCATTGTACAGCAGCACGAACAGGAAGTGGCTATGTTGAGGAAGGAGCACGAGCAGAAGCTGATGGAGTTGGCACGGCAACAGGACACAGAGAAGGAACAGCAGGTATGTTGTCTGTCCGTATGGTCTGTAGTTTTGTACTAGTAAGTTTTGTAATGTGGAAAGTTGTACTGATTGAGACTGTACACCATGAGACCAAAGGTCAAGGTGTGTACATGACCGTTCAGCTTGTAAAATACCGTACACTCACTAGTGACACACGTAACTCATAATCCAGTCATCGATGGCAATACATCGCTGACAAGTCCAGATATTAAAGTTGTAGTAGGATCACTCGGGGTCCATGCAGTTGTATGTGTATCGCCGAAGGTTAGAGGTATAAATCCTAACAAGGGATGCAGGACCATGTAACCAAAGTGATCCTGCTACAACAAATTTATCTTACCAAAATGTTTTTATATGACATTGTAAAAGAATTAAAATAATTCAAAATTGATAGAAAACAGCTGTTCAATTGAGCGGAGGTTAGCTTGTGCTATGTCACATGACTTTCATTGACTCGGAAAACGTGTACAGCTTTTTACTATGAAGCGGGGTATGAGAGATTTATTCTGCCTCTCAGAGGTCCACATGCAACCTGTCTTGCTCAAGGCGGGGTATAAGCGATTTGTTCACCCACTGAGATATTTGTTTCCCTCCAAGGCGGGACACACAGTATTTTATCAAGATCACGTGAACCAATCAGATCTCATCATTCTGACATGGATGAATGATAACAAAAGTTATCAGTGTCACGCTACACAATTGATGCTATCAACAGATGTAATAATCATCATCATCATGTAATAATCATTATTAATAATTAACTTTTTCATTCTTTTTTTTTTATCAAAACTATACCTTGCTTGATGAGCCATTCAGTATGTAAAATAGTATTATTGCCATCAAAATACATTTTACACTTCAAACTTTTAAACTTGATTTTACTGAAATTAATGTAAACAATATTGAATGAGATTTTGAATAAAATTGATGAAATGCATTAAAAACATAAAGAGAGCAATACAATGAACACTTTTTAGAACCTTATAGTGTAATAGCCATGACAAGAGGACTAGCTTGCATTCTACAGTATGAATTTGTTGACATGCACTTTTCAGATTTGATGCTAATGGCTTGCCTCTAGGGAAAGAGAAATCAATTTTGTCTGCATGTATTATGTAAAGCCCCCTCAGTTTTTTTGGTTGTTTTTTTTTTGGGGGGGGGGGGGTGGTGGACAAAGTGTGCATCATACACAAGAGATACATTATTTGATATGAGAAAACAAAATTCAAAACAGTGACGGCACAATCAGTATTCCATCAGTGAATTAGAATAGATATCATTTGAGGTCATATTATTTTTTGTTGAAATTATGTAGAGTATGGACAAAATATTGTGAAACAACAACATGGGTCTGCCATCTAGCTGTGCTGTGTTTTTCACTTCAGCTCCAGTCTGCTACGTACGACACGGACGTCCAGTCTCTGCGGTCGCAGGTGCTCACACTCATCAGCGAGGTCCATGAGACACAGACCAAGCTGGCCGCCGCCACTGATGCACACGACAAGAAGGACAGAAGGTGAATATAGAGAATATGGCCAAGCTCATTAAAATCAGATCTTAGTTTTGCTTCCGCTAAACAAAGATCTGAGAACACCCTATTACGGGCACGTCAGACCGACCTTGCGCGAACTTTGACCAACCAAAGGAATGACTGACAAGAAGTCGGTATTGGCCAATCACAAGGCTTTATGACAAATTGGCGACTACGCTGCGAAACATATTTTGACAAAATCTCGATTAAAAATTTGAAACCCTAACAAAAGAACATTCTGGAATGGTTAATAGATGGTCTAGATTGTATGGATTCAGTTGTTAAGCCCATAACTATTGTTCGGAATACCCTGTGTTAACGTTTTCTAGGTTGCATGATTAGAAATCACATTTCGACTGTCACTTTCATGATCTGGTAAGTGACGCTTTTAAACCTTTCAGTCCAAAATAGACTCTGGCAGCCCTTTTCAGTCCAAAACATATCTGACATTTTCAGTCCCAAACAGACCTGAGTACTCCTTTTCAGGCCCGGTTCCTAGCTGACCTTTGAGTCCCAAACAGACTTCAGCAGACCTTTGAGTCCAAACCCACCCCAGCAGACCTTTCAGTCCCAGCTCCTAGCTGACCTTTGAGCCCCAAACAGACCCTGGCCAACCTTTGAGTCCCAAACCCACCCCAGCAGACCTAAGCCGTATTGGTCCTCCTGTTAAGTGTGTGATCGTCCTGCTGCAGACTGAAGGACATGGAGGACCGGAACAAGCGGTTACAGCTGGATCTCAACCAGACCCGCCACGAGCTGCAGGCCCTGATCCAGTCCCTCCAGCAGCGCTGTGGTCTGTCGGAACACGCCTACGCACAGGAGCACCAGAGTCACGAGGTCACCAAGTACGTCCAGTGCCATACCACATCAGACTTTTAACACAGGATAAATACAGAATCTCATCCCTGTGTCTTTTGATAGCAAATATATCAAGTCGATAAAAGTTTGCAACTGAGCCTTATTTGATGTCAAAAGACACAACAGTGAGATAATATATGTCATCTAAAATAATTCTTCAATCTTTTTTATTTTGTGAATAGTAATAACCAGTGTAAAAAGTACAGCTAGCCGGCTTCAGTGGCAGAGGGATTAGTGATGTCATTTGACTGTGATGTCATGGTAACAGATGACATCCCAATGGTCTTAAGAGCATTGTGATGCAATTTCATTGATCTCAATGAAACGATATCCCCTGTGGAAGACATCGGGTATGATTAAGTGCTGATATTGTGTACTTACAGAATAGAGCGATAGAATTGTAAAGAAGAAATTATAATATAAGGCATGACTAGCATTTGGTATTGGATGGTCAGACATGTGGATGGAGATTAACAATGATTGGTAACAAGTGCCTTCAGTCATTGCCTGGCTGTCGCGACATGAAGACCACCTGTGTGGTCTTGTGGATAGAGAGTGTTAGAAAGTTGGTGGTTCGATTCCATGGCCGCATCATACCAAAAGATGGGACTTCTTGTTCCCCTGCCTGGTGCTCAGCATTGTGGGGATGAAACAAGGACCAGTCTATTTTTAAGCGTTGAATTCTCGCAAACGCTATCGCAATCAGGACTGGCTGCTATATTGTTGATGTCGCCAACCCAACATCGAGGCTGGTTTGTAACTCATATTCTCATTGGTACGTTAGACTGAGTAGCCTAGCCAATCAAACTGGCTAAAAGAAATCAAGGGCAGGTAATTTGAGATTGCGAGAACCATGGCAATGGGGCCAGGGGTTAGTGTAGGTTTTCCGAAATGCTCGCCCTGGAGAGTCGTATAGATTGAGGATGATTGATATTCTGAATGTATTTCATAAACCCTCTTTATCTTTCAATACAGACGCAATATGGGTCAACTGCGGACATCTTTTGAGCAGTTGGTCACTGACTACAAGGAGCTTCTGGACACGTTTGACCAGTACAAACTGCAGCAGGTGAGTGGAGATAGACTACTCACACCGTCCACTTCCACATCCATGGGAGACAACTCTGCAGGGGCAGATGTTGTTTTGGTTTTGGTGTTGTGAGCGGGATCATTCAAAGTTTCCACCTTGACTGATTAAAGATGGCACAAGTGATAACATGCTTTAATGTTTCCTCCAATATGACAATCCTAAGATAAATTCTGTTTTTAATTTCTTGCTATTTATCATTATATTATATGCTGTAAATCGTGAAATTAATGCATCTCCAAATTAATACGACTGCTGACCCCAAGGCAAAAATGCGACTTAAAATCTATGGGACTCCAACCCCCACACCCCAGCACCAGCGGACTGATACATATCCTGTCTTTGAAAGGCATTTAGAAGTAATACACATAAGGAAGAGAATATAACTTCTTTATTATGAGAAACACAACGTTTTGGAGTACGTCCTTACTCCTTCATCATTCACCTGATGCATATCCTTACCTTAATCCAATCTAACAGAAAATGGCACCGCTTATTGGCGCTATGTAGAGCACTTCCGTAAAAACAATAAACAGTGTTTTCCTAAAAACAACACACAATTTGTATGTTTATTCTGTTTACTAGCATTAAGGAATTTCAACGTCAATAAAATAATTGAACCAACAACAGTTCACTGATTGGTATACGGAGAAGGTGTCAACAAACTTGTAGGCAGACGACAAGACAAAGGCTGTAGGAGTGTGATGAAGCCTATCAGTGCGTATTGTCATGTCAGCCTCTGACGAAGTGTTGCGTGGGTGGCGTTTGTCCGGACTGCTGGAGTGGTCAATGATGCCTTGTTTGACACGAATGGGTAGAACTCTTGACCCCAGCAGTTATATCTCACCAGATGCCTGTTTTTTAAATGACTTTGTTATGTACTTGTTACATCTGCTGCTCAATAAACCGTGTTTGTCTTTATATTCAAGTTGGTATTTCCGCTATCCAAAGTGTGCAGTGAGGCCGTCTTATTGTTGATAGTCATTTTGGAGACATAAATGTGCGAAGTTTCATTTATGCGAACAAAGACCACTCACATTTTTTGCATTTAATTCACGCTCTTGTTATTTTCAAGATTTACAGTATTCAGGTGTCATGGTGAAAAACAATATTGCATTAGACATACATTGAAAGTGATTTTTTTAAATTATGGTCAGCTGATAATGAGTTTTACATAAATTCCCGCCATGTGGCAACATGACATGGGCTTCATGAATAGTACCCATATGTGTAATTGTACATCATGTTTAGAGTACTATTGTGTTTGAACTTTTATACTTCCCTAATGCTCTCCCTTGATTGGTGATGAGGTTTGTGTAGGCTATGGTGTCTTCCCTCTTCCCTTTCTCTTCACACTGTCCACTTTCGGCCACTCTTTCTATATCCTATCTTCGTTCATCCCGTTGCAGGAGCGGCAGACCCCGGGCTCGGCTCCCCAGAACCAGCGTGCCATGTTGGAGCAGATCAACCACCTCACGGCACAGGTGATGGCAGCAGAGGAGGCCATCACGATCCGGGACGAGCAGATCCAGTCACTGAAGGTCGACCTCGCCAGCAAGAAGCGGGAGTACGAGGACATGGCTGCAGTGTTCAAGGCTCAGGTAGGAGGGTCTTGTACATGGTCATGTTTAGCAGGCAGGAGGGAGTGAGTGAGTTGGGTTTAACGCTGCTTTTAACAGTATTCGAGTAATATCGCGGCGTGTCAGCTTAATGTGGGAGGAAAGCCTGAAGTGATGCAGGTCTCAGACGTTTACCACTTCGGTGAAACCCACAAGCACGGGTATGGTGCTGACAAACCTAGTTAGCAGGCAGGAAACGAGCTACAGTCAAAGACATTATCATGAACAAAGCACAAGTCAAGTCTTGTTAATCTGACACTCGTTAATCCGACAATCGGATTGCCTAACAAAAAACAATTAATGCTTTAAATAAAGAAACGGGATTAATCACATGCTTAGATTACCTCAATCTTATTAAAATCAGATACAAGTTTTCGCTATCGCCGAGGACATCCCATTACGAACAACCTTTCGCGAACTATGACCGACCAATGAAATGACTAACATGAACAAATATAAGTATGATTCTCATAAGGTCTGTAATCAGCCATTTTATCTTTACTTGTTCCCTTGATGTCCAAACATAACAAAACAGTCCTGGAAAAAGGTTATTTCTCATTCTTGTGAACATATCTCATTATTTTGATCAGGTTCATAACAATTTTCTAAATGATGCTAGAATCATCCACATGGTTTACCAGAAGCAAGGTATGATGTCTTATATACATACAAATTGATATTGGATGCCACTTAATACAGTGAGTGTCCTCTGTGATGCAAATAAGTATGGCTGTTTGAATCATTCAAGTTATCAAAATGGTAGATTGCATATTACCATGGTTACAAACAACTGACAATTCTTTGCTGGAACGTCGCCACAAATAGCTGTAAAATTGTTGATGTAGAATTAGGCAATAATTCCTCACTCTCTTTGCTGGTAAAAAACCCACTCAATTGTTAATTCTCTTCAATCTAACATTGAAATTCCCTTCTATGACAGGCTTCAGTCTTCTGAGTAATGGACAGTTAGTAAAATGTCAGTTGCAAGCCTCAGACTCCCTATTCATCCTTTAAGTTTTTTACTGAGAGTCCCATGAACTCGGAATTTGGTAGCCCCGGGTAAATACCTGCATGCAGGTCTAGTAGGCTCAAAAGCCTTTTCATACCTTCATCTTGTTGAGGTCAGATCCTTTTCTTCAACATGCATGAAGTCATGGTGGTCATGTCAGATCAACTTTCTAATCACCAAATCAGCATTGAAGCTTCTAAATTCTTGGTCAGGTGAGCGAATCACTCAGACCAACATATATGATGTCTTATCTCAAAAACAAAGTTAAACAATCAGTTCCGAATGTAATTAATGAAAGAATGTGTGTTACATTGTGGATATTTTGTACACCATGATGTTTCTGAACACCAGGGCCTCTACAACTAAACTCGAGTAGCAACAAGAGCTGGTTGTGTTCTGTGTAGGTTTCCTGGTGGTTGTCAGATCGTCTTGCTGTGAGGTATGGTATCAGACTAAAATGTCTGATGTAAATCAGATTTTTTCCTACTTTGTTCTTCATCCTGGTCTGTATTCCTTGCCAGGCGGATGTTTACAAAGCTGACTTTGATGCCGAACGTTCGGCACGGGAACAGCAGGTGTCCGAGAAGGAGCGGATCCTGACCGAGATGGGCGACCTCCAGGTGCAGAACCAACAGCTGCTGGATGACATCGAGTCCTACTCCCGCCGCCAGATGAGCGAAATGCAGCGTCGGGTAGCACCGTCCTCCCACGCCTACCTACAGTGTGTCAGCCCGGGGGGTCCCTACGGCCCGCCCCAGCCCACATTCAACTACCAGGGGGGGATGCAGGACAACCAGCAGTCACCGGACATCAACTACCATGAAACCCTCAATCTGAACCAGCATCCCAACCAAGTAGGTGTTCCTGGGTGGTTCCTGGGGAGGATAGGTTCCCATGTTGTCAGGACCGCGGTTCTATACACTGCTGTACGCCATTATCCTGGAGACACTGGGCTGATAGAGTTATAGTTTGTGTTTTTGAGGTATAAGCCTAAAAAACGAAGTGCAAAACACATTTTTTTACATTTATGTCTCCATAAACTGAAAAATTATTGAAGTCAATTCAAATACATTTTGATGTCAATTCTTATAAATATATATGTCAAATATGAAAACTGAACAGACTGCTTATTTTATCAATAACATACGAAAAACTGGAGACCACAGTAGGAAGTGAGTGCAATTGTTCAGTGCCTGACACTGATGCTATATGTGGAGCAGATAGTCGCTAGGCTGTGGCACACATGTCAAGCCGATTATTGCCGTTTGTACGATGTACGTTTTACTTTGTAACCTCAATGAGACTGGCCCTATGGTCTAAGGCACTGCAACCCAATCTACAGGGTTGTGTCTCCTAGTTGTGACAGGATCCTCTGTTTTATGCTTTGAATACGAGATTTGTCTTTTAGTTTTACGCCTGTCAGAAAAATTATCACGGGTTCGAATCCCCTGGTCAGTACGAGTTTTGAGTCCATGACGTGGGACTTCTGTCCATCTGGACCTGACCTATCCTTGTACCTGTCACATCCCTCACTCCCCCATGAATCATGACCTGACCACTCATATCAAGCACTGGGTGACAGTATTATATGATATATATATACCAGGGCTGCACTGAATACACTATGAGGCGAATACGATTCGTATCGCGAATATAGGGTACTGAATACGAATATAAGTTCACGATTACAATAACAGGTCAACAGTTGGTGTATTATTTGTTATATTCAGTGAATAACAACATAAAATATTTGACATGTTTTGTTAATTATTAATATATTATTAATTTATTTACTGGTAATAGTATCTGCTCAAATGCGACAAAGACCAGTGACCAAATTGCTGTGAAATTAAATATTATAAGAGTGTTGTCTTTGAAGAAATCTATGCATATAATATGTTCTTATGGACATTTTTAGGTACAGGGTATGTAAATGCACATACTTGCATATTCATAAATATTCAATTCTACTGGCCACGATAAAACGAATTCAGTTCATAAATGGATCCAGTTCGATTCACCGAACACACGTTACAGCTCTAATATATACTAACTTGATTAATTTACCTGCCACAATCATATGGCCGCAATATTGCAGCGTTAAACAAAAAAATTGTTTTTCAAAAATATCCAAACGTGGACCATAACAGAAGCAGGACAGGTCAAGATGTAACCATGGTAATACATGCCTCTGTTGTTCTGCAGGGTCCACCTCACTTGGATCCAGGTCAGCACGAGGAGGAAGAAGTGCCCCTCGTGTGCCCCCAGTGCAATCTAACGTGCCCCGACATGGACACACTGCAGATCCACGTGATAGAGTGTCTGGACCAAGACGACCAGCGGAGGGCTAACCACCAGTAGCTGCACTCCAGCTCCTAGCAACCTGTGATTTTAGCTGTATATGTTCTTGGTTTGAATGGATGAGTGGAATTTGATGATGGTACAGGTCTATTGATGACTGATGAGGAACTTGGTGTATCATGCTGCGGATAGAGTTTACCTGCAACAGATACTGCACACACGTATACAAACCATTTTTACACAAACTTTTTAATGATTATGCTTAAAATGCTGTTTCGTGTGACTTCTAATTTGTACCTATTAGGGGTTGACCGAAGTTTGTAACATATTCCATAAACTCGCCACAGTATACATATGTAATTAACAATAAGCAAGATATGGACCTGTTTTGTACATTATTCTCTGTAGTAGAGTTCATTTGTGGTTGCTGCCTGCAATTGATGCGCTCGCAACTTGATGACGTCATGTATTGAACGTTATTTTTTAGAGGGAGTGTCTGGTAAATTGCTCCCCATAGATGTTGGTAGACTATGCAGATAAATGCAATGGTGGACTGATCGCATCCAGAAGTGGGAGAGATATGACAATCGGTATTGGGAGAAAGGGTACAGATAATCTACGTGAGGATTGTGAGAATATGCGGGAAATACCAAACTGAACCCGCCTGTTTGTAAAATGGACTTGTCCAACATTTATGGCTTGGATTATATTTAGGTAGTCATCATAATCAATATTTGGGGAAATATTTTTAAAGCTAGCACATTTTATCATTAAGAATCTGTACATAATGTGGAAAATCTCACATAAGAAATAAACAACTTGTGGTTGTTGTTTATCGCCCCTCATGGTGTTTATTTGTCGTTTATGTCTTATGTGTTCTTATGTGTTCTTGTACTATTGAGTGTTTTAATATTTACTGAGTATTTGTACACAAGCAACTCAAAATTAATCAGGAAATGGTGATTTATTGTGCCTGTTTTACACAAGTACACAGTTTATCTGGAGCCCTGAGGATGTCATAGTGTTATATCAAGTCACAATCTGATGTTTAGTTCCTATACTAAGACAGGCACACTGCATGTCTAACCTTGTCACACACAAATTATGTCTCAATTGCATCAAAATCAGATCATAGTCCTCGCATAGGACAAGACCTCTGCTAGGATCTGAATTTAATGAAATTTAATTAGCTTCTGAAACTTGTGAACATTATTTTTCTCATTTTGTGTTAGTATCAGGGTATCCAGATTTTCCAAGCTGAAAGTTTCTGTACTCCCCTTCATCTCTATTGTTATATATAAAAATGATCATCATATTGGCTGAGGGATGAATATATCACAAATACCTCTCAATTTATAAAGGTAAAATAATCACCAACAATTAATTCATTAAACTGTTTCTGAAACTTAAGCTGCAGGTTTTTTACTATAATTATCATATCATGTACCACTTTTTGATTTATTGCAAAAACGTGATTGCTTTGACAAATATGACATCGCACAACAATAGATATTTCTGACACAAAACTTGATCAAAAATAGTTCTAAAAAGGATTGTATGTTTAGATCTGTGTGAAAATAGTTACCGTATTCGACGTTATAAGCGCCCCGCTCTAATAAGCGCCCACGGCGATATTTGCTAATATATTGGCTCGTGAACAATCCCAATTAGCACCCCTTCCGATTGACCAATGTACACAAGACTCATTTATTCGCGTAAAATACGCACTCGTGTGTTATATGCACCCTTAATTAAATTAAGGGCAATTAAATTCTGGAAAAATATATCTGTCGTACATAAACATTTCAGGCTGTCAGCATAAACCACGGAAACTCTGTTTTTCCCCGACAAAATAACATTCTAATAAGAGCCCCCTATTTCTAATTTTGAGAGCGCCCTGGGCGCTTATTACGTCGAATACGGTACCTCATTTTGTAGAAAGGATTGTATGTTTAGTTCTGTGTAAAAATAGTTACCACATTTTGTAGAAATTGATAGGTGACACAGAGTTACAGAAGCCAGATGGCGTTGACTGTTCAGTCATTGTCAATCTTACACTCTCCACTCAGGCTGTCTGCCAGTAGCTTTTTTAAACACTTGAGATGTGGTGTATGGCCTAATGGTCACTGTGTTCCCTCTCCCGGGCTAACACCGGGTTCAAGTCCCCACAGTTTCACAATGTTTGGATGTGCATATTGTTGTAACCGGCTGTGATATTATTGTAACCAGGGTGAATTAGTATTGAGGCACGGGGCGTCCGAGTTAGAGTGGGTCCTTAGTGCTTGTCACAAGAAGTTACAGATGTATCGGTGGTCAGGACCGGTGACATGCCTTACCTCGACAGAATGGATCATTGCTCATAATATCAATTGCTGAATTGTCTGGTCCAGTTGCGATTATGTACAGAGAGTTGTTAATATATAGCTGGAATATAGCTGTGTTCGATGTTGACTCATAACAAGCTCGCAAACAACTAACACACTTCATCATTAAACTTTTTATTATTGTAGATAAAAATGGAAACTTGCCTGAACTATTTCAAAAGTATGATTATGATGATGGCTCATTCTCTTTAGAGTGGCCCAGTCGTCTAAGGTGCATATCGCTGTATAGAGCTGCATCCCTTTGGCCCCCCAGAAACCTATGATTGTACGTTCAAATCTTGGTTCGCCCTACAGATGTTTCTAGGTTTATCAGCACCGAACTCGTGTTAGTGGGTTTCACCAAAGTGGTAAATGTCTGAGATCACATCACTTAGGGCTTTCCTCCCACATTAAGCTGACACGCCAAGTAACTCAAATACTGTTGAAAGTGGTGTTAAACCCAACTCACAGATTCTGTTAAGTGAAAACACTCTCACACAACAGAAAACGATTAGTCACTGGTTGTTTACTGAAGAGGGCCTAAGGTCCCCAAATGGTCAATGTGATCCTCTTTCCATTGTGTAAGAGTCGGCTGTAAGATATATTGTTTCTGTTTCGATGTCAAGTGTAAATTGTGTAGAAAGAATTTGCTGATGTATATTTGGTGTTTTGTCTCTTCACGAGGCACAGGAAATGTATTCAGTTTGATTTATTCTTTGTAATTGTGTTGACAATTGATGAGATCATTGTCATTGTACATATTCCCTATTTCTTTACAAATAAATTCATTGCTTGTATGTTGTTGATCTCTGACTGCCAAACAAACTTAATAAAAATCTGTTAAAAAACTGAGTGTTGGGACAGCATGGTTGGAAGACACCATTTCCAATGTGACGGTGGGCAGTGAGTGTGACGTGTGCACATGGAGTTCATGCTCGTTGACTCGACACATGCGCCATAGCTGTTGACATCAGTGAATTGTGTGTAAAGGATCAGCTGTCTCCCATTTTTAGATATCAATCACAGATTTGTTTGCTGCTCTGAAATCGTCTTCGGAAGTAATAGAAAGGGCAAACTTTAAGTTAGAAAATCAGAAGTGAACAAGCAGCAACGAACACTCAATTGACAGGTCCACAAGCCACCCTCCCACCCTGCTGTTGTCATTGGCTGTATTGATTGTACAGATAAAAAGTTCAAATGTCAGGACCTGATTTTTCTTGAGTTTGTTTAACCCAGTGGTCATGGCTGGCCCGCGGTGATGCGGCCGTCAAACCAGCTGTTTCAATCAAAGGGGGTTTATTGTGATTTAATAGCCTCTGATTGACCAATCAGAATCGAGTAAATTCCAAATTCATGGTAGAATGGTATATAATGTGCTTTTGCATTTTGTCTTTTCAAGTCGGTCATGAAAAATATGTTCAAGGACACAGGGAAGGTTTTTCAAACATATGACAAGCATTTCAGTACATTAGCGCATCAAACACGTTGGTCTGTGTTGTAAACCAGCTAATAAAAAATAAGAGGCCTCAGCTGCATTATACTGGTGTGCAGGGAGACAACTGCCGTCTTCCTGCTTCTATTAGAGTGAACTCCCCTTGATTCTATATATAGTAAATCTCACAGTCACACGGATTGATTATCGCCAATCTCCACCTGTTTCTCATACAGACAGAATACAGAGATGCTCAAATGAGAAAAAATGTATTTCAGAACTTACTCATCCCACGATCTGTTTTCCCATTTATTCATTGTAGGATTTAGAATTTTAAAGTCGGGATAAAAATCCAAGAATCTGAATTCTTTTTTGAATGCCAGATGGGTTCGTCAGTAAAGTGTTCAATCCACTGTGTAACCAAGACCTGTCTGTGTGGTTGACAAAAGTAAGGGACCTACCGTTTGCTATTCCTGTCGGGGATAGGCTGAGATATTTTGTTAGAGACAGGATATTTGTTTCATTTTAATAACATGTATTTTTACCACATTTGTTTCAGGACATGCAAGATGTACAGCAAACAATTTCGTGTTTATTCTGGAAAAATTGTCTCTTTTTAAATCCAAGGATCTCAATTGACCAGTTCCTAAGGCTATTGTGATTCCTGACACTGTGAATAAATTAGTATAGGTTACATGTGATATTTTAAGTGTATTTTATAAATATACAATGAACAATAGCAGTGTTACATTATGGACGAAGAGACTCTATATGGTTTCCTTGTATGTCTGGTTATGTATTTGCTTCAGCCTGTGATTACCATTTCCAGGATGACTTCAAACTGATTTTGAAACATTCAATAAAGTAATTAATTGCTTGTAACAGTGTTGGTTATTGTGTTATAGCTCACCTCAGTGAGGATGGGATGAAATGGTAAACGCTGTGTTCAATATTGCTTCCCATCTCTAGTGACGTGCATTCATGTGTGTGTGTCCGACTTATTCCGGTTTTATAGTGTTAACCCTCTGAAATAAGTTTAACAGTTTAACATGGATAAATCAACTTATACCCCGTTCACATTCGCCTCTATACGTATGTGTGTATATGTGCATACGTGTGTAGAAATACATACGTGAGTATACTTGTCAAGAGAAACCCGCGTTTACTTACGTGTGTATATTAACAGCAAGAGCAAATTTGCATCGTATCTGGAGCAGTTGCAAATGTAAATGTACATTTCCACTGTGTGTATATGTTGCAAAGTGAACGTTTATGTCAACGTAAGAGGATGATATAATTAATATCTGTTCTTTTGCCAACACCAAACAAATTGTCAACAGTTGCCAAAATTTATGCGTATATAGAGAGTTGAGCGGACGGTGTTTTCTTTTGGTTTCAAGGAGTCAAAACTTTGTGTACAAATTAAATCAAACGCATGTTGCTTCACGCGAAAGTTTTCGGTGCATTTGACTGGAAAACAACCTGTTTTGTTTTGTGTAATATAACTTACGTTATTAAATGTTGTGCATGTGAACAGGGTATTAGGTACATTATACTGACACCGTGTCGACCAGTCCTTGTTTTATCCCTTGATGCCGAGCACCAGGCAGGGTAACAAGAAGTGCATCTTTACCGTCTTTCTGTATGACGCGGATGGATACTGAACCACCGACCTTCCGGCCCGCGGACTAATGCCGGTTTCATAGATAATGAGACATCATGCCGCAGTTTAACATGTCTACCCCACACAGTATACTGACTCCGAGCTGACCAGTTCTTGTTTCTTCACATGATCTGCAGTAATTTTGTGTTTATACAAGACTAGATTAAATTAAAAACAAGTTTGCCAGTTAGTGATAAAGGTACATCTGTACTAAAATGTTGCATGGCTAGAATACAGGAGATGAAATTATGCACAAGTCACCGTTGATAATCCCCAACAGTGATAAACTGCCATAATATGTAAAACAGTTGTTTTAGAGAATATGCAAATATTCTAAAGTTGTGTAAAGTTTATGACTCATGGATTGAAATTATAATGTTGATATTACTTAACATTAGTATGCTTCATTCACAAAATAGGGGGGCACGGGTGGCCCAGTCGTCTAAGGTGCCGCGATTCGCTGTGCAGAGATGTGTCCCTTAGACACGCCAGAAACCTATGGTCGTGGGTTCGAATCCTGGTTCGCCCCGATTATGTTTCTAGGTTTGTCAGCACCATACCCGTGCTCGTGGGTTTCACCGAAGTGGTAAACGTCTGATACCTGCATCACTTCGGGCTTTCCTCCCACATTAAGCTGACACGCCGTGATATAACTGGAATACTGTTAAAAGCGGCGTAAACCCAACTCACTCACTCACAAAATAGATTGGGAAGTTGGTCTTTTTCCACAAAGCAATCTTAGCGATAAGACGATCGTAGCTGCCATAGACACAACAATCGCAGCACTTAGGTCCCTTTTGTGGAATGGAGCCAAGAGCTAATGGTTGCTTGGTTGGTTTGTTGTTTAACGCCGCACTCAGCAATATTCAAGCTATATGACGGCGGTCTGTAAATAATCGAGTCTGGACCAGACAATCCAGTGATTGACATCATGAGCATCGATCCACGCAATTAAGATCGATGGCATGCATCAACCAAGTCAGCGAGCCTGACCACCCGATCCCGTTAGTCGCCTTTTACGGCCAGCATGGGTTGCTGAAGACCTATTCTACCTCGGATCTTCACGGGTCGAGAGCTAATGGCTAAACATGAATAGGTGACAACAACCAAGCTTGGAGATGAACTCGCAACGGACTGACCGTTATGTTTACAAACAAGTGATGACTGCCATGACGCCAAATACTCCTACCCCTGCCAAATTACTTTCTTTCATTGTCAATTTGAGTTATTGTTTCATTACAACTATCATGTATTTGATATGGTAAGAATGTAAGGGAGACGTTGGTTGATTTTCCGTTCGTCTGCAACCTCCAACCAATCTGATCAAACACACAAATAGGTAAATCATCTGGGAAATCAGGTCAGTCGTAAATCTTTAGTATAGAGAGCTCCACGAACGGGATATCGCTGCGAGGAGCTTGAGTGGGAATGGGCTACTCAGTGACGTCACTACATTATGACGTCATGTAATTGTGTCGTCACGTAATTGTCTCGCCATAATCGTGGAGACTGGCCGTGTTTTTCATCATAGATGCCAAATATCTCTGTCTAAAATGGGATGCAAACAGACCAAGGTTAAGCCTTTCAAGCAGACATCTCCCGAGGAGGCTCTGACGGGCAAGATCAACTGTCCTCACGAGCTGTACTACGCCAAGTGTCAGGTGACACCGCCAACACCCCGCCTGTCAGAGGCGCAGATTCTTCAACAGCTACGAGATGAGGGTTTGGTCCCCGACCGTCAGTCCAGCGGAGGAGTGGCCTTCTCTGTCCCTGTCGTGGAGGAGGTTGTTCCCCGTGGCAAAGCTCCCCGACGTCTGGAGCAAATCCCAGTGCGATGCTTCTACACAGCTGAGAGGAGGAGACAGAAGGCTGATCTGTTCCGACTTGACAGGTAAAATCTCTAGGAAGAAGAGTCCAAACACTTAAACCGTTTGAATTACTAAACATGCCTTTGTATTGATTTCATACTGAACTAATTTTATATTGCGTGTCTTTTTTTATACAGGTTCGTGGAGAAAGTCCAGAGGAAACAACTGGACAGAGAGATAAAGCATAAAGCTGTCAAGGACGAGAAGAAACGTCGCCAATTCATCAAGAAAATGAAGGCGGAACATCAGCTCCAGATGAGGGAGGAGAAACTGGAGAGGCTGGAGGAAGAGCGGGCGGGGAGGAGGAAGAAGCCAGCAAAGAAGTAGACTGAGTGGAGCGAGTTGATGATGGTTGGTAGGATGTAAACAACAGCGAATGATAAAAGAATATCAAGAACATTAACTGAAAAAAAGAACAAAAGGAAAAAGGAACAAAATAAAAGCAACAGGCCAAGCGAAACAGGAAGCCAGAAGATGCAACATAATGAATACAGTTCATACGCTTGCAGTGTTGATAATTTGAAAATCCTTTAGTTTTTGTCTAATTGTTAGTCTGCAATGAGCGTAGGGCAATCATACATGAACATTAGGAATTATGTGTACTACTTTCTATATGCCAGTTATGTATAGTTTATATATATATATACCAGTTATGTATAGTTTATATATGCCAGTTATGTATCCTTCATATATATATATATATATATATATATATATATATATATATATATATATATAAGTAATGTTTGTATTCTTTAAGTTTGTAATAAAATGGTTTACGTAATTCATACCTTGTTTATGATTTAATAATCTTGTTTCATTAGTTTGACATTTATTGTTATAAAATGTACTGTGGCTGTGCCTGAAGGCTGGACATCGTTTCAGACAAGATATGTGGAAATGAAGGCTGGGTTCATTTCCGGATCATTAGTCATAAATTTACCCAAGGAAAGGAGTTTATGTACCAAGCAAAACCTATACACCTTTCAATACATAAGGTTTTTAATAACCATGCAGGGAAACAACAAGTACCATCTCTAGCATCTTTACGTATGATACAGCCGATATCTCCCATCCTCAACCTTCTGCTCTCTGGGCAGACGCTTCATCCACCAGACCACGGAGATGGTCCACTTGACAGTGAGGGATGAGTGAGGTCTTGTGGTACACCGTTGTCCGTCATCATTTCAAGGCGACAGTGATTTAAGGCTTGACAAGGACGTCACAGCAGGGATGGGCAATATTTGGCGTGGCAAGTAAAACACATTTGCCACACATCTAACCTCATGATGAGTAAGGACCGCCTCCGTGGTCTCGTGGTAGAGCGTCCGCCCGGAGAGCGGAAGGTCCGGGGTTTGATCCCCGGCCGCGTCATACCAAAAAACGTTAAAAGATGGTACTTGTTGTTACCCTGTCTGTCGCTCGGCATTAAGGGTCTAAAAGAAGGACTGGTCGGCTCGGAGTCAGTATACTGTGTCTGAGTGGGGTATTCATGTTAAACTACGGCATGGTATCTCAGATGGCTAGCACTATAAACCCGGCATCAGTCCGGACTAGTACAAGCAGCCACACACACACGCACGCACATCGCTGTATAAGTGCAATAATCTTGGACGCGACGTTAAATCCCATTTCACCTCACCTCACGATGAGTGATGACCTAAATAAGGTGTTGTTGATGTTTTAACGGGACTTAGGTTAGTGTGTAGGCCCAAAAAGTGTTTTTTTAATTTAGCCTTTCCCAAAATAGGGCGGGGAGGTTGTTTTTTGTGTTGTTGTTTTTTGTTTTTTTAAAAATAGCGATAAGCACAACGCGTACGATACAGACAATATCGTAATTGTTATTTAAGCTATCGTGCAACCCTCCAAATTGGGGTCGTTTAGAAGCCTTTACCAGGGCACATCTGTACAAAGCAAAAGCTGTGCTAACACATTTAACACATTTCCATTGGACTTGAGGTAGTTTAAGCGCTTGTGTACTGGGACAGACGTTCCATCTTCTCGAGGAAAGGGAGTTAACTGACTGTAAAAAGTCCAGTTTCCACTTTTATAGTCAGTCACCTCCCTTGCCCCGGGAAGCCACAGGCTTTCGGAACAGATGTCTGCCTGTCACCTTGGCTGATGGTATTTAAGGTGGGTTAGGAATAGTAATGTGTCTCGTGCTTTCTGTTTAGTTCCAGATGTATTGACGTTAAAAACGTCTTCATCAATAAAACCTGTTATCGATACTATTCTGAAACTTACAGAAACGCTGCTGTCGCACTGGTGAAGAATAATACTTGCTGCGGCAAATTCTTCACATTATATCGTGGGTTCGAATCTGAGATTTACTCGGTTATGATCCTTGGTATATTAGTTCCATATCTTTACTCGTAGGTTTCCCCGAAGAATAAAACGTCAACGCCAGAAAATACCCAGTCTCGGTTATACGCCGAAACAGATGCCACTGGGCGTAAAAGACCAAAAAACGGTGTAAATTATGTAAATGGAACATTGAAAATCAGTGATGACACCAGGTGTTCGCGAAAAGCACGCCCTGTCCTACCGGTAGCATCCTCCACGCACACAATTTGCTTAAAAAAGTAAATGTTTGTTTGTTGCCTGACGCGGCACAGCAGTAGTACTCGACGTCGACCTTAATCAAACAAGACAATCAAGTGATCTGAGAGATCTTTAATGCGGCTCTGATATCACTGAGATACTGTTTAAAATGTTCACAACGCAGGTTACACACTCACTATTTTCAATAGTGGGTCATGTGATTGTTTATTCTCGATAGTATGGATCTTTGCTCACTTTTTCGATCACCAGTTTGTCGCCCTGGTTCAGGTTTGATGTACGCAACAGATGGTAGTGATTATGTCTTTAGTAATGCTGGAGCATAACAACATCCTCTCACGATAGGTGAGGTGAAAAGGGGTTTAACGTCGCGTTCACAATTATTGCACTTAAATAGCGACGTGCATGCACGTGTGCACGTGTGGCTGCTTGTACTCGTCCGGACTAATGCCGATTTATAGTGCTGAGGTACCATGCCACAGTTTAACACGAATACCCCACTCAGACACAGCATACTGACTCCGAGCCGACCAGTCCTTGTTTTAGCCCCTTGATTAATGCCGAGCACCAAGTAGGGTAACAAGAAGTACCAACTTAAAACGGCCGGGTATCGAACCCCGGACCTTCCGCTCTCCGGGCGGACGCTCTACCATTTGACCACGGAGGCGGTCACTCATAACAATATCTAGTACTGGATATACATAAAGCCATTGCCTCAGATTCAAGTTCATTTCAAATAATGAAAATGATTTCATACATCATTTTAATTCAATAAACACCAATCTTCACGTTTTAATTCAGGATCCCATATTTCTCTGACAATGACCCTTATTCATTGCCCCATGCCCTGTTTTTTTTTACAGAAGTAGTAACGTCTATACAATATGGCGTCCTGTGACACCTTGATTTAACTGTCATGCTGTTCAAAACGGCGCTAGACCAAATTCCCTCAGGCACACGCTATTCATTATTATATGGGATTGTGGAATAGCCTTGTATTTATAACACTCATTCGTCACGCCAAAGGTCTGGGTTCGATTCCCCAATGTGTGAACCCGCCGTCTTCGGATATTGCTGGAATATTCAATTTCCTAAAAGCGGCGTAAAACCCAATTCATTCACTTATTCAAGATAAAAACAGAAATCCAGTAAACTGTTAATGTCCTCACCAAGCGCTTTCTTGCCGATGGCATACTGTAAAGTAAAGGCATCCAGTTATACTGCCTCTGGCCTAAACTATCTCATCACAAAAATTTCTATTAAAAAATGACGCGAAAAGGAGCATTTAGAAATATGCTGCTTCTAGAAAACCATGATTAAAATTCGATCGCAAACCTACAAAAACAACAGTCTCTCCCGTCAATCGATGACACCAGCAATACAGCGCAGAGATTCGCATTCAGAAACTTGATAATTCTATTGCCATGGCACCATTAGAAATAGCTTTATCGTTTTCTTGAAGTGGGGACGCTACTTCTTAAGCTGTAACCATAAATTGATCCACACTTATTATCTGACAACTGTTTCCCATTATAACTTAAAAAAACAACAACCAAGTATATAAAATAAAGAACGTTTCGTGTCAAGGCTGGTGTCTCTTTGCAAATCGTTTACAACCTGTGTTCTAAATATTTTATATCGTTGCACCAAATCTAATTAGTCGTTCCCATGTCATCAACTTCACCCCGACAACCAAACACTCTCGTCTGCCAACAGGATTAAACTCATTCATGGTAATTGTTGTGGAAAGTTGTGAAGATCAATCCAAACAGCCTCCAATCCATCTTATTATCAGAAGGACATGTTCATTGTGTATTGTGCCGTCAACATGTTTACGATCTCAACCCTACCACGCAGACTGCAGAGGAAACACCATCAGCGCGGACCTCATAGAGAGCACCCAAATCGAATCAATCAACAATAAGCATTTTGGTTGAGGAGCCAATGGTCAGAATGCAAGCACCGTGGTTGACCGTTGTTGTGATCAGCTGCTATTTATTCATGAGAAGAAATCTATATTCGCGCGGTATCGAGGCTATTTTCAGAACGCTGTCGAGGAAGCGAGAGGCACAGAGGGAGTGAACAGAGCTATGGCGGAAGCAGGCAAAAGGATCGTGGCCCTAGCAGTGGATGAGAGTGCACACGCGGATAACGCCTTCCAATGTGAGTATCTTCGTAATATCGGATACACAAACACAAGATGATTCATTTAAGACTGTTGTTCTGATGAATTACAAATCCAAAACGTTAAGGTACATACAGCTTTGGCTCTGCGGTTATTAACTTTTAACATCGCCCCTTGGAAATATTTCTAGCCCCCAGGCGAATACATGCGAACTCCATGTAAACTCAATGCACCATTGGACTTACTTAGATTTGTACGAGGAAGTACACTGTCAAATGATATGATACTAAACGTAAGCACCTCTCTGCTTTCACACCCTGCGATATGTCAATGAATGTAAGAACAATTCATATTGTTAAGGTTGTTTGTGAATATTGTTTGAGAATTACATAGTTATTGCTAACTGACAGACTGTCTGTTTTTCAAAAATCAGGCAAGCTGAGGAGTATTGCATTGAAAATGGTGACGAAGATGCCACGTTATCGATACTACAAAATTTGATAGCGAGAATGATAAAAGCACATCTGCTAATATACGTCATAGGTTTTGTCACAAACACGATTTTGTCTATTGAAGTCCACAGTTATGTCGGTCTGACAGTAAGTACCATTCAACGCAGGTGCAGTTGATTATGAGAACTCGGGAACGTAATGATCGATACTGTATAAACTTTTCTCTAATTACATGCCGCCTCTTGTGGAGGTGGTGGGGGTGGGGTGGGGGTGGGGGTGGGGGTGGTGAAATGGGGTTAACTTCGCGTCAAAGATTACTGCACTTATATAGCGACGTGCATGCACGTGTGTGTGTATGTGTGTGTGTGTGTGTGTGTATGTGGTGTGTGTTTCGCTGTGTGTCTCTGTGCTTGTGCTAGTCCGGACTGATGCCGATTTATAATGCTGGTCCACTGAGATACCACTCCGAAGTTTTAACATGAATACCCCACGCAGACACATTATACGAGCTTGTTTAGCTAGTCCTTGTTTAGCCCCTTATGCCGAGCGTCAGGCACAGTAACAACAAGTACCATCTTGTAACGTGTTTTGGCATGACGCTCTCTGGGCGGACGCTCTACCACTAGACCAAGGAGGCGAGTTGTACAACGAGCAGTGAGTACCAGGCGGGGAACGAAGTACTTCCTGTTTATACTCGGTGTTCTGATGATACTGGAATATGTGTTAATACTGTCAAGCTTCACTCTTCAGTCTCCCGCGGTTTTTGATTCAGTGTTTATGATTCTAGGGCAGAATAGGTCCTCAGTATCCAATAGCAGCGTAGGAGTCTTAACTAAGGAGATAGGAGATAAAACTCCGAAAGTGGGTTGGAGTATTCTGAACTGTATTTCCGCTGTAACAGCTTAATGTAAGACGAAGCTCTGAGACATGTACCACATGTGAATCCCACGAGCACGGATGTTGTACTGACAGAGGGTGATATTGAGAGTGAATGGGATTCGAAACCACGATCACAGAATCCTGGCACGCCTAAGGGACGCAACTCTGCATGTCGAATTGTAGATACAAACCTATGTTCGGATCCTCTGCTCTGCAGTGAGTGTTCGCTGTACGTGTCTCCCCACCAACATACCGCCTTCCTCTGCCAGGTGTTACATTGAGGCAACACTGTGCTATTTATTTACTGAAGATGGCGAATGTCCTACAACTGCTTAGATATTAATATAATAATATAAGTCATATATTTGTTGTCCCACAAAATTCGTCTTCGGATGTAGAAGAAATGTAAAATCCTAAATTATGAAACAGCTGTTGTTATCAACTGCACAGATTATGTAGATCCGCGAATTCAGGCCGTGTTAAGCAGGAGCTTAATGTCGTGATGACATGACACGTGCTGGCGTGGAACATTATGGGCGAGTGCCTGGTTGGGTCTACTGGAGTTTATTGCTGTTGAAGTCGTGCATAGAAACCTCTAATTCTTCGGGAAAGTTGGTACAAATTTGAGGCCGAGATGTCTTTCCATGCTGTATCGAGATAAGTATACCCACACATGCACGAGAGGTAACGCAGATTCCCAGCATTAGGAGTGGAGGCGTCTACTTACTCTTTGTTGTAAAACTGATCTTCGCGATACACAACGCACTGAAGTGCCTGATGTATTCTCCCCCACCACGGTTTTCATCCTCCCTCTCTATGTCTTCTTCTCATCCTTACATCGTCTTCTCTTCATCCCTACATCGTCTTCTTCTCATCCTGACATCGTCTTCTTCTCATCCTGACATCGTCTTCTCTTCATCCTTACAGCGTCTTCTTCTCATCCTTACCCGCGTCTTCTCTTAATGCCTACATCGTCTTCTCTTCATCCCTACATCGTCTTCTCTTCATCCTGACATCGTCTTCTCCTTATCCTTACAGCGTCTTCCCTTAATGCCTACATCGTCTTCTCTTCATCCTTACATCGTCTTCTCTTCATCCTTACATCGTCTTCTCTTCATCCCTACATCGTCTTCTCTTCATCCCTACATCGTCTTCTCTTCATCCTTACATCGTCTTCTCTTCATCCTTACATCGTCTTCTCTTCATCCCTACATCGTCTTCTCTTCATCCTTACATTGTCTTTTCTTCATCCTTACATCGTCTTCTCTTCATCCTTACATCGTCTTCTCTTCATCCTTACATCGTCTTCTCTTCATCTCTACATCGTCTTCTCTTCATCTCTACATCGTCTTCTCTTCATCCTTACATCGTCTTCTCTTCATCCTTACATCGTCTTCTCTTCATCCCTACATCGTCTTCTCTTCATCTCTACATTGTCTTCTCTTCATCCCTACATCGTCTTCTCTTCATCCTTACATCGTCTTCTCTTCATCCCTACATCGTCTTCTCTTCATCCTTACATCGTCTTCTCTTCATCCCTACATCGTCTTCTCTTCATCCTTACATTGTCTTCTCTTCATCCTTACATTGTCTTCTCTTCATCCCTACATCGTCTTCTCTTCATCCTTACATCGTCTTCTCTTCATCCCTACATCGTCTTCTCTTCATCCTTACATCGTCTTCTCTTCATCCCTACATCGTCTTCTCTTCATCCTTACATCGTCTTCTCTTCATCCTTACATCGTCTTCTCTTCATCCTTACATCGTCTTCTCTTCACCCTGACATCGTCTTCTCTTCATTCCTACATCGTCTTCTCTTCATCCCTACATCGTCTTCTCTTCATCCTTACATCGTCTTCTCTTCATCCCTACATCTTCTTCTCTTCATCCTTACATCGTCTTCTCTTCACCCCTACATCGTCTTCTCTTCATCCTTACATCGTCTTCTCTTCATCCTTCCATCGTCTTCTCTTCATCCTTACATCGTCTTCTCTTCATCCCTACATCGTCTTCTCTTCACCCTGACATCGTCTTCTCTTCATCCCTACATCGTCTTCTCTTCATCCCTACATCGTCTTCTCTTCATCCTTACATCGTCTTCTCTTCATCCCTACATCTTCTTCTCTTCATCTTTACATCGTCTTCTCTTCACCCCTACATCGTCTTCTCTTCATCCTTACATCGTCTTCTCTTCATCCTTCCATCGTCTTCTCTTCATCCTTACATCGTCTTCTCTTCATCCTTACATCGTCTTCTCTTCATCCTTACATCGTCTTCTCTTCATCCTTACATTGTCTTCTCTTCATCCCTACATCGTCTTCACTTCATCCTTACATTGTCTTTTCTTCATCCTTACATATTCTTCTCTTCGTCCTTACATCGTCTTCTCTTCATCCTTACATCGTCTTCTCTTCATCCTTACATCGTCTTCTCTTCACCCTACATCGTCTTCTCTTCATCCTTACATCGTCTTCTCTTCATCCCTACATCGTCTTCTCTTCATCCCTACATCGTCTTCTCTTCATCCCTACATCGTCTTCTCTTCATCTCTACATCGTCTTCTCTTCATCCCTACATCGTCTTCTCTGCATCCCTACATCGTCTTCTCTTCATCTCTACATCGTCTTCTCTTCATCCCTACATCGTCTTCTCTGCATCCCTACATCGTCTTCTCTTCATCCCTACATCGTCTTCTCTTCATCCTTACATCGTCTTCTCTTCATCCCTACATCGTCTTCTCTTAATGCCTACATCGTCTTCTCTTCATCCTTACATCGTCTTCTCTTCATCCCTACATCTTCTTCTCTTTATCCTTACATCGTCTTCTCTTCACCCCTACATCGTCTTCTCTTCATCCTTAGATCGTCTTCTCTTCATCCTTACATCGTCTTCTCTTCATCCCTACATCGTCTTCTCTTCACCCTGACATCGTCTTCTCTTCATCCCTACATCGTCTTCTCTTCATCCCTACATCGTCTTCTCTTCATCCCTACATCGACTTCTCTTCATCCTTACATCGTCTTCTCTTCGTCCCTACATCGTCTTCTCTTAATGCCTACAACCTCTTCTCTTCATCCTTACATCGTCTTCTCTTCATCCCTACATCTTCTTCTCTTCATCCTTACATCGTCTTCTCTTCATCCTTCCATCGTCTTCTCTTCATCCTTACATCGTCTTCTCTTCATCCCTACATCTTCTTCTCTTAATCCTTACATCGTCTTCTCTTCATCCTTACATCGTCTTCTCTTCATCCCTACATCGTCTTCTCTTCATCCCTACATCGTCTTCTCTTCATCCTTACATCGTCTTCTCTTCATTCTTACATCGTCTTCTCTTCACCCCTACATCGTCTTCTCTTTATGCCTACATCGTCTTCTCTTCATCCTTACATCGTCTTCTCTTCATCCTTACATCTTCTTCTCTTCATCCTTACATCGTCTTCTCTTCATCCTTACATCGTCTTCTCTTCATCCCTACATCGTCTTCTCTTCACCCTGACATCGTCTTCTCTTCATCCCTACATCGTCTTCTCTTCATCCCTACATCGTCTTCTCTTCATCCCTACATCGACTTCTCTTCATCCTTACATCGTCTTCTCTTCGTCCCTACATCGTCTTCTCTTAATGCCTACAACCTCTTCTCTTCATCCTTACATCGTCTTCTCTTCATCCCTACATCTTCTTCTCTTCATCCTTACATCGTCTTCT